GCGAAATGAGGTTTAAATGGATGATTGATGCATCTTTTATGTTCTGAAGTCCTTAAAATGCTTCTAAAACATTTCATAGTCAAAAGAGCAGCTGCTTGACATGTCCTTATTTTTCCTTTTGTGTTTTCATAGGGACGGCAGAATCCACCTCGGGCCAGAACCACACCTTGCCCAGCAAGAAACGGTAAGTCATGCACATTACTCCATCCCATACATATAGGCTCAAATTAGACTCAAAATGACTGAGCTTGTAACGTGACCATAACAAATAATTCCAATGATTGTAGTTTTAAATCAACATTTGTTAACCTGTAAAATAAATCTGCATGACAAATTCTGCATGTGTAGAAGAGATTTGTATTTGTATCAGTCTGAATGTAAATTATGAACAAATGATCAGTGGTGAGGTTAAACAAAACATGTGAAAAGAAGAAATGGTTTTGTCAACAGAGCCGTTATTCATCATCAGTCTTAGTGTTAGAATACGTTTTACACTGTGGTTTTACAGTTTAACACACATGCTAACTTCAACTACGATAACAAGTTACTCCTCACATATATGATATTTGTAATTAGCCTGTAAGACTAATGTAACAGTTGAGACAGCTAACCGTGTTAGCAGCATCTTCGCACGGCTCAGCCAGGAGCCTGTTGCTGTCAGGTTGCTGATGCAGGTGGGTTTACCTGGTGTCCTCGAGGACACAGGTCAGATCCACCCCTCCCTTCTCCCCAGCTCCACCCTCTCATCCAAACATTGTTTCTTCTGGCTCCAAAAACCAAGATGCCGACGTCCATTAAACCAAACTCGAGGCTTCAAAATGGCAGTTCCCCAACCAAAGGGTGACGTCACGGCAGTTTGCCACTTGGTCCGGACACACTTCAGTACTTGTTTCTTCCGCCAAAAAGTAGCCAAAAAAATAATTTATTGATAATTTTCCCAACCCATAAAATACACGTTATCTTTCAATTTCTCAGTTCAAACTCACCAGATGTGGAGATGCATTGTTTTTCCTGGGCAGCGACACATGCTAACTGTAGGCTGTTTAGTGGCATGGCAGGGTAGTAACATGTTTGTTTTGAAAGTCGGTTCCAGTTTGACTCTGACAGATGAGTAAAACAGGCTCACACCATCCTATACATATAAATACGGTGTGGGAGCTTTACGTTGGGTAACGAATGGATGCTGGAAGCAAAACAGGAAATAACAGCCCCCCCACCCTCCCCTCACAGTTCATCCATCACACTGGAGTGGTCCTAAATGAGACACATGAGCCAGAGACGTGCAGCCTGTACAATGAATGGCTTCTTTCCTCTCTTTCATTAAGGTGCCTCTGTTCATGTTATGCTTCTTTGCACAATATAAATAATGTGATTTCACTTGTGTTATACCACTACAATTAGTGACATGGATTTACAGTATCTACAGTATTTTCTTGGTGCAAATCATTCGTTAAAGGTCCCATATTTCACACTTCTCTGGTGTTTCAGTTGAAGTTTTGATCCATAAGAGATTATAATTGTGATATGTTCCTCGTCTCTCTCTTTGTTTCCTGTCATTTCTCCACTGCTGCCCAATCAGAGCGTAAAACACTCAGAATGTGCACAGCCGCCTGTTTTATCCTGCTGCTGTCTTCAGGTATTCAGGCTCTTCATTAACCAGCAGTAATAAGTTAAACAGTCATGTTCAGTAAAGAACAAAGTCCCTTCCTGCACTTGGACTTGTCCGGTTACAGGTGCAGAAAAACGACCACAGCAGAACCTGTAAAGCTTCAGTGTATCGTAACCACAGTGAAAAACAACACAGTGCTTTCAGACCCAGAGCAGCACCTCACAACCCACAGCGCAACAGGAACCAAACCCACATCCTCAGAACATTTTTGTCCTCCACTGTTTCACCACACATTTATTTAATAAGGTCCCTGGGCATTAACTCTTGTATATAATCCAACAGAAACATTGATTTAGCTTTAAGATCCCTCTCTTCTGTTGACCCTAATGTAATCCACATGTTCCCAAAGTCTTTACTGTTTCTATGATAAACAAAATAATATTTTGATTTGTGGCATCAGTCCACTCAGAAATCACAAACTTTTTCCTCATTCATAAAGTTTCATAAAGGTTTTGTGAATCAACTGTCAGTGTTCAAGTGACACATATCAAACAGTGTATATGTTTATGAGACATAGAAAAAGGAGGTGAACCACAGCTGAAGTTGTTTCTGCAGCTACAACAGAGTGATTACTAAACTATTTACTCAACCTCAAAGAAGTTCACTCTGACCTTCATTCAGCCACGGTGCCATGAAATTCACTTTATTTATTCACCTTCCTCTGAGGATCCTCCCAGTGGAGGTGGTGGCTTCCTGTGTTTGAAGTGTTGATCCATAAGAAGATATATTTGTGGTTTTAAGAACCAAAAACCATCTCAGTGTAGTTTTACATCTCCTCTCTCAGCTTCTCTCTGCAGCTCTAGTAACAACAGGTCGGTGAGCCAATCAGAAGAGAGGAGGCTCTGAGCCTCTCTTCTGGTTGGCTGACTGTTTTCTGAGTGATCCAATAAAAATATAGCAGATTTCAGGTAAAAACACTCAGAGAAACCAAATCCTGCAAGGTTTGGATGGTGGGTCCAGGTGGGCGGGGCTTGGTGACTGCTTTGTTGTGACATCACAAAGTTCCAGAAGTCCTGACGGCTGGTTTTAAGGCTCAGTTTCTGAATACAGGCTGTGTGCATTTCTCTGTGGACTGAGGCTTTGATACTTTCACAGTATTAATATAGAAGCTAGAGCTGATCTATAATCACACTACACATGGACACAGACCTTTAGAGTATATGGGACCTTTACTAGAAAACATAGTCCGGTAGCAGTTTTGTTGCCTGCTGTTGCTGATGAGATAGCTAGCTAGGCAGATAGATTCAACATTTCATAGAATGAATAAAAAGACTAAATAAAGTATAAAAATAAATGGAGTTGCTCTACCATGGCTGTAAACTCTTTGTTGTCTTGTTAACCAAATGTTTAGAGGAGCTACCTCCCTCCTGTTTTCATATTCTGCCTTTTATCGTCTTGAAAGTGTGAGTTTGTGAGACTATAAGAAAGTAAAGTCGTGTTTAAATGAACTGGCTCTTCAGTTAAATGAAACAAATGCATAATGTTGAACATAAAAAAATGTCAGAGATGCAGTGAAAGATCAGCCACGCAGAAATGTCTGTTTGACAGAGAAGAATCAGACAATAGTTTCTCTGTGCTCAGCTGTGCACTCACAAACAGCCAGATAGAAACACTCAGAAGCTTTGTTCACAGCCTGACACTCTCAAACACACATTATGCCAATCTGCCAATGAATTCACAAAGGAATCCATCTGTGGGACAGTCAGTGTGTGTGTGTGTGTGTGTGTGTGTGTGTGGGTGTGTGTGTGTGTGGGTGTGTGTGTGTGTGTGTGTGTGTGTGTGCTGGGTGGTGATGTAACCCAGGCTAGCTAGTCTAAACAGCTGATTATGATCACAGGAAAGTGATACAGAGAAACTCTCTCCTCAGTTTTTAGGTCACAGACTGATTCAAGTCATTTCTCTGGTTTTCAATTTTGTTTTACAACCAACAATTAGTTACATAAGAGGACTAACTTTAGTCACTAATGTCTGCTCCTGTTGGTCACCCCACCGCTCGGCTCCAGACTGAAATGTCTCAACAACCACTGGATTTGACTGCTGTTAAATTTTCTACATTCATGCTCCCCTCAGGATGAACCCCTCTGACTCTGGTGACCCTGTTTCTTTTCCTTTAGAGCCACCCGCAGGTCAACGCTGTCACGTATCAATATCTCAACAGCTGTTTGATGGATTGGCACAAAGTTCTGAGCAGACATTCGTGGTTCCCAGAGGATGAATCCTACAGATCTTAGTGATCCTCTTGAGTGTTCCTGTAGCTCCGCCGTGAGTTTGGTTTAAGTCGAAACGTCTTGGAAACTATTGGATGGATTGCCGTGATATTTGGTTCAGACGTTCATGTTCCCCTCAGGATGAACCTTTTGATTGAGTTTAGTTTTAGTTTTAATTAGAAGATGTCACAACACTGTGAAACTGCTGTTTCAGAGAGGTTCTGATTCAACGGTTTCATCACATTGGAGGACAGAGTTTGTATTTTACTGACAGCTGATTCTGTTATTATTTATTTATATGATTTTCTAATTTTCTGCATGTTTCCCCAAGTTTCTGTCCAACATTTTCAGTATCCTTTGAAAGTTTAGTTTGACCTGTGTTTGGCTGCGGAGCATCATGCAAAAACTAAATGTTATAACCTTCATGCATGGCTCGATTAATCTCCTAATGATAAAATTAAGGCGGAGAAATTAATTAGCAACAATTTTGATCATTAAAACATTTTTTTAAAAGCAGAAATGTGTGAAAAAGTCAATCTGGTTTTGTTTTTTCATAGAGAAATGGAAATTATTTTAAAGCAAATGTGTTCAACACAAACTAAAACAATGAAGATCTATGGAGGTCTGAAAACCAGATCTGGAGAGTCCCTCTTCAAGATGGAGGATGGGGAACATGGATTTTATAGACCTGAATGATATGGACTAAATGAAGGCTTTGGTTTACCTGCCCAGGTGGATTTGATAAACTGCCACCTTTTTGTCTTCAATGAGCTTCCATACTTTTCTCATCCCCGTTAAACCAAACGTGATCAAGTGAAAACAAATGATTCCCTTCCTGCTCCTGCAAGACAAGAAGAGGGGGCGGCACACACACACACACACACACACACACACACACACACACACACTCAGAGTGCATGGTTCCTGGGGGAGGTCCGTGCGCGCGGCTGGGTGGATTGCGCCACTCGGAAAATGGAGTCAATAAATCGGTGGCTGTGGGGCATTAATCGGGTGGGGAGGGGGTGAGCTGGTGTGTAGGAGGAAACTCCCACTGAAGGCGTTCCTCCTCCCTCGGTGTATATTCACACAATACCGTCAATGAACTGAGCTTTTCCCACGTTTTCCCTCCAGGGGCGAAGGACTGTCTCGGAGTAACCCGGAGCTCCGCCGCTGCAGCTGCTGCATCTGTGTCCCTGAACCGCGTCTCACACTTTAATACATCAGCTATTACCCCCCTCACCCCCCCTCCTCCCCCGGTGTGAGGGGTGAGTGTGTGTTAATGAGCCGACTCATGTAGAAAACTTGGACCCGGTCAGAGGCTCTCGGTCCCGGGACAGCAGCGCCAGCAGCCGCGGAGGGATTAGGTAACCTGTGATTGTTCAACTTTGACTCCGCGTCCTGGGATATAACCTCACAGCTGACTGTGGATCCACTGACGCAGGTACAGTAGATTCAACTGAAGGTTTCTACTGATAATAATAATGATCCAGCTGCAGGTCCGTGTCTGTCTGTGAGCCTGTTGGATCACGGCGCAGTGTGTCCGTGTGTTCCTGTGTGGAACCAGCTCAAACACTCCGGTACATGTTAAAGTCCTGCTCTGGAAATACTGCTGAAGTGAAAGTATGCAGTAGAGGAAGTAGTAAACACAAGTATTATCTACCTCATCAGAATCAGAATACTTTATTGATCTGGAATTGGGTGAAGCTACAGTTGCTCCTTCAAGAACGGAACTGTAACAGCAAAGACAGAGAATAAGAGATTCAAATATGTCCTTACACTATGATATTTAATGTAACAGTCCTATACCTGCTGCTCTGTCTTATTCTAACTTATATTGAACATCTGAACTATTTTTATTCTGTTTGGCAGTTTAATCTTTAATAAGCTGATCACATGTTCTGTGAATGAAACTTCTCTTTGTAAAGAGAGTGGAAGCCAGTGGGTGAAACATGTAGTAAAATAAGTAAAAGTTCTCATCACTTAAAACCAACGTATCTGATCTTTATTAACAAAATGTCTTTAAAGTCATATGAAGTGAGTTGTTAGTGAGGGTGGGGTTGATGCATCTTACTGTGTAAGCTCAGTAAACAGTGGAGGACGCTTCGCCGCTGTAAAAATACTGCATCACTAGTAAAAGTACTCAAGTATTTTCAGCTGGTAGTACTGACAGTATTGACAGTAAAAGTGCACAGTGCAGAGAAATGTCTCATGAGAGTGACACCTACTGTCCAACACATCAGACTTCATCCAGCAGCTGATCACAGATGATTCATTATCATCAACCAAACCGTCTTAGAGAATCAGCAGTCACATGTGAGTGTTCAACCTGCTGTTACATGTTATATTATTATTATTATTATTATTATTATTATTGTTATTGTTCAGAGTGGAGTTGAGATAGTGGAGATCAGATTTTATAATTGATTACGACTCCAGCAGCTTCATTCTGACGTTATTTCAGATTCACATGTGGACATTAAATAAATCTGTAAGTTTGTTTATATGTTCATCCACTTATCCAGCTGTTCTCTGCTGCTCATGCAGCTCCAGGTCGTGTTTAATGATCATGAATTATTCTATATATATATATATATATATATATGTATATATATATATACAGGTGGGAAAATGTGACATAATGTCATTAATCCATGCACTAGATGAGTAATTGTAGACCTCATCACCTGCTGGTCTTCATTCATATCTTTAATATAATAAGGCATAAAACATCTAAAATCTTAAACTTTGACTTGGTGCAGAAACTGGACGAGCTGATCATGTGTTTTCTGTGTAAAAACTTTATTCGCAAAGTAAAAAGTAACAAACGCCGAACAATGAATTGAAATATCCAAATCGCAGCAGCTGCAGTTTTTTTTAGATGAAGGTCAAATGTGTCACAACAACAGATCATAAATGAAGCGTTGTGTTGCCATGGTGACGCCTACAAGTCATATCCTCCAGACATAAGGCAACATGTTTGTTTGTTACATGACCAACACAAATCACTTCATCATCTTCATTTGAATGTTTTTTTCAGTGAAAAATGAGATTGTGACTCTTTTCTCAACGTCTGATTGATCAGGATTTTTTTACGAGAATCTCAAGTTATGAAGTGAATGTAGAGGAGTAGAAGTATAAAGTAGAAGAAAATGGAAATACTACAGTGAAACGCTCTCAGAGAGTTTCCACTGCTGACGTTTAGTTTCACTGATCTGAGTTCTCCCTCCTCTGAGTGAAATCAGCACAGTGCTGACCGCTGCTTGTTGTAGTCCAGGCTGCAGCTGCAGTGGCGGTGGCGGCGGTGGCTGCAGCTGCAGCGGCGGCAGCTGCAGCTGCAGCAGCAGCTAGTGACACTCGTACGCTGCACGCTGTCTGGCGCAGTGATTTGATAGTGTCTGTCTGTTAGATCGCCTCTGTGCTCGTGTCGAGCTGAAGGCCTGAACTATGTGGCGTGTTCTTGGGGAGTCTGACTCACTTTTCCACTCAGCGTGCCCATGGCAGGGAGTCCCCCCCCCCCCTCCAGATCTCATGTTAGACCCACACTGAGCTCCTTTGCCTTCACCTCCCTCCCTGTGCCTCCTCCTCACCAGCAGCAGCTCTGTCTTCCTGTTTGGCTCTGGGCTGAGCTGAGCTCTGCGTGTTGCGGTCGGGTGGCATCAGCAGTTGGTGTGTCAGTATGACAAGTATTCAGAGCTGCAGAATGTGGTGTGTAGGTGAGGGCTTCAGCACGGGAAGTTTAACAGAGGGAGGAGGAGGAGGAGGAGGAGGAGGAGGAGGAGGAGAAGAAGTTAGTTATTAAAGCTGAGGAACAGAGAGAAGAGTGAAGGTGGAAGGTTTTCTGGAGAGAGTGTAATTGACAGTGAGGATGTGATGACCAACATTAATGGCTCTTTGGTGTTAGTGCGACAGCCTGAACACAGCTGGAGTTTACAGGCTGCTACTGATATAATTCATAAAATGACACATGAGCCCGTAGTATTTTATTTTGAATGTAAACACACACAGATCCTTTAGATGGGTTTTTCTTGATTTGAAGCTCCATATTTTCTTCTTCTTCTGTGTTTTATTGTGTTATAAGTGTTCATCCATGAGAAGATATTTTTGTGGTTTTAAGAACCAACACTCAGAGAAACCAAATCCTGCAAGGTTTGGATGGTGGGTCCAGGTGGGCGGGGCTTGGTGACTGCTTTGTTGTGACATCACAAAGTTCCAGAAGTCCTGACGGCTGGTTTTAAGGCTCAGTTTCTGAATACAGGCTGTGTGCATTTCTCTGTGGACTGAGGCTTTGATACTTTCACAGTATTAATATAGAAGCTAGAGCTGATCTATAATCAAAAGCTGCTCAGTGTTGCAGTGTTTGCTGAGTATGTTTGTGTGTGTGGGAGGGAGACCGCTGCATTTCCCAGAATGCCTCAGAGAGCCAGCGTGAAGGTTTTTGTGCAGCAGCTTGACCTTCACATAAACCTCACACACAGCCTCATTCATGTAGAGAGCAACTGTGTCACATATTAATTATGTCTTCATAAAGCTGGCACGCTCCGCTGTGAGCTCATCGTACACCACACACACACACACACACACACACACACACACACACACACACACTCATGAAGTAATGAGATGGACCAGTGTGTCTCTTGTTTACGAGGCTCTTCAGATGATGAGCGTCCTCCTCACTTTGTCCCTCAGAGTTCAGGTCGTCTTGGTTACAGTTCTGTAACCAAGACAGTTCTACAGCTCAGAGCAGTTATTATCGATCAGCTGATCTGTGTCTAAACTCTGGTAATTCTCTGGCAGCAGCTGCTCCGATGTTTCATGTCAGTGATCAGTGAAAATCTGAGTTTTCAGCTGCTGAGTTTGGAGATTTTTTTGTGATTTTCTAACATTAACTGATAACAAAAATGATTCTTAGATGTGTGTGAAAACACTTTAGGCAGATATCATCATCATCATCATCATCATCATCATCATCATCATCATCATCGTTGCGTGTAGGTGAGATAAACGGTTTCACACGTGGTTGTGACACATGCAGCAGATGGAGCTGACGTCTGTCTGTGTTTGTGTCAGGCAGCGTGCACGTCGTCCGTCTGTCCGTCATAATGTTGTGTTTGACACCTGACAGATGTGCAGCAGCCACAGGTGAACTAAAGGGGGGGGGGTTTATGAGTTGATGTCTTCACCCTCTGTGGGGAACAGCTGCAGGAGTGTGAGCGGCAGGGTGGGGGTGTTGTGTGTGTGTGTGTGTGTGGTGTGTGTGGTCGGGGGGGGGGGGGCTGCAGACGAGCCACTCCTGTTCCCACTCATGAAAAGTTCACGCTGGTGGTTTTGTTTAAGTGTTTGACCATTTTTCCCATCATGCATCAGGTTTGTAGAATGATTTTCTCTCGTCTCAGCAGCCATCACTCACATTTCCTCTGTCCGAGTTTATCACAAATATAAACTGAAAGAGTTGCTTCATGGAGATGATTTTATTTATTAATTCATTCATTTATTTATTCATTTTCCTGTGGTGAAGTGAGCAGAGACTGATGTGATGTGGTGGTGCGTTCAAGGACTCTAAAATGCATCATAATCATGATTATCGACATTATTGATTCATGTGTCGATCATTTTTCTGATTGATTGATTAACCCTTGTTTGTAAGATTTCCAGAGAGTAAAGAAACATTTGTTGTGAATATAAAGACGTTGAATTTACAGCGATGACGAAGAAGAAGAAAGAAGAAATTCTTCACTTTTCTCCTTGAGAAATAATCGATGAATGGATCATCGATTGATCAACGTCGTCCACAGCAGCTTCTGTCTTCTAACAGCTGTGAACTGCAGATTCCTCTCTGCCATCAGACTGTCACATGACGACTCTGCTGGAGCCGTATCAATGCCTCCCCCTCCATCTACCTCCATCTCCCTCCATCTCCCTCCATCCCCCTCCATCTACCTCCATCTCCCTCCATCTCCCTCCATCCCCCTCCATCTACCTCCATCTCCCTCCATCTCCCTCCATCCCCCTCCATCTACCTCCATCTCCCTCCATCTCCCTCCATCCCCCTCCATCTACCTCCATCTCCCTCCATCTCCCTCCATCCCCCTCCATCTACCTCCATCTCCCTCCATCTCCCTCCATCCCCCTCCATCTACCTCCATCTCCCTCCATCTCCCTCCATCCCCCTCCATCTACCTCCATCTCCCTCCATCTCCCTCCATCCCCCTCCATCTACCTCCATCTCCCTCCATCTCCCTCCATCCCCCTCCATCTACCTCCATCTCCCTCCATCTCCCTCCATCCCCCTCCATCTACCTCCATCTCCCTCCATCTCCCTCCATCCCCCTCCATCTACCTCCATCTCCCTCCATCTCCCTCCATCCCCCTCCATCTACCTCCATCTCCCTCCATCTCCCTCCATCCCCCTCCATCTACCTCCATCTCCCTCCATCTCCCTCCATCCCCCTCCATCTACCTCCATCTCCCTCCATCTCCCTCCATCCCCCTCCATCTACCTCCATCTCCCTCCATCTCCCTCCATCCCCCTCCATCTACCTCCATCTCCCTCCATCTCCCTCCATCCCCCTCCATCTACCTCCATCTCCCTCCATCTCCCTCCATCCCCCTCCATCTACCTCCATCTCCCTCCATCTCCCTCCATCCCCCTCCATCTACCTCCATCTCCCTCCATCTCCCTCCATCCCCCTCCATCTACCTCCATCTCCCTCCATCTCCCTCCATCCCCCTCCATCTACCTCCATCTCCCTCCATCTCCCTCCATCCCCCTCCATCTACCTCCATCTCCCTCCATCTCCCTCCATCCCCCTCCATCTACCTCCATCTCCCTCCATCTCCCTCCATCCCCCTCCATCTACCTCCATCTCCCTCCATCTCCCTCCATCCCCCTCCATCTACCTCCATCTCCCTCCATCTCCCTCCATCCCCCTCCATCTACCTCCATCTCCCTCCATCTCCCTCCATCCCCCTCCATCTACCTCCATCTCCCTCCATCTCCCTCCATCCCCCTCCATCTACCTCCATCTCCCTCCATCTCCCTCCATCCCCCTCCATCTACCTCCATCTCCCTCCATCTCCCTCCATCCCCCTCCATCTACCTCCATCTCCCTCCATCTACCTCCATCTACCTCCATCCACCTAATCATTTATTAGACGACGGCTCCAGTTGTTGTTGTTGTTGGAAACTGAATGAATTTGTTTTCACAGGATTTATTTCCGATAAGAGAAGAAGTTGTTTCTAAGCGTCTGTGAAAGAATGAGAATGTGACCGTCTGTCTCTGTGTCTGCAGTGTGTTTTCCCGCTCTGGACGTTGATGTATTAGGACAACGATGTGTCGTCCCCCCCGCTGCGTCCTGCTGCTGCTCTCCTGCGTCCTGCTGGTTCTGCTGGTTCAGTTTCCTGGGGTCCGGTCCAGACCGGCCACGGAGGACACGGACACAGGTAACACACTCCGCAGATGCTGAGTCTGGATCTCGTCAGGCGTTTGTGTCTCCAGCAGAACAACACAACTTTTCTCTGTGACGATGACGTGAATCTGACGTTTGAAAAACTTCCTGTTTGACTTTTTCACTTTTCATTTACTGAATGATTCATTAACCAGCTGCAGCCAGTTTGTGGTTATTACCTGAAACCGAGCGTCTATGACTCATAACTGATTATTATAAGGACTCGTTTGGAACATGATGATGACAGTGTTGATTAATATATTACAGATGTGACAACGAGATGATTCTGTTTGGATGGTTCTTCTCTGGCGACAAACAGCTGCATCGTTTCATCTGATGATGTTCAAAATGTTTTCTTTAATTGAATTCACTCACTTCACTGAGAATAATCACTCTTTGAACTAAAGCTGCAGCTAATGATTGTTTTCATTATTGATTAATCTGCCTCAATTAATCGATTCTCTGGTTTTTCTTTAAAATGAACGAAAATAGTGAAAGTTGCTCAAAGAACAAAATAAAGTTCAGACGCCGAACAGTAAAAAAAAAGAATCGATCAGTTTACACAGATTTTCAGAATAACATCAGATATTTAAACAACAAATAAGAATCACAATAATATAATTAATCATCAGATTTCAGAAGCTGTAACCAGCGACTGATCCAACAACGCTGAAAATGAATCGACTGAAAGAAGATATAGATATATTTGTCTCTGTCTCAGTCTGTCCTCAGTGTCTCAGTCTGTCCTCAGTGTGTCTGTCCTCAGTGTGTCTGTCTGTCCTCAGTGTCTCAGTCTGTCCTCAGTGTCTCAGTCTGTCCTCAGTGTGTCTGTCTGTCCTCAGTGTCTCTGTCTTCACTCTGTGAATTATAGCAAAGCTTCTAAAGCTTCTCAGTGAGCCTCTTGAGGAGGGAGGTGTGTTTCTGGAGGTTTGGCTGTTTTTTGGCTGCAGAGCATCTGAAACTGTTTAGGGTGATTTTTCATGGCGGAGCCGAGGCTCGGCTCTCGGGGAGCTGGTTATGGTCTGTATATCCTGTCCAGACGCAGTAACACATGCACACAGTCTGAGTGTGTGTGTGTGTGTTGTGGTTGTGTGTCGTGCTGTAATTTTAACTTCTTGCCGTGTGTGTTGTTTTTCTGCTCCGACCATCTGGGCTCCAGCTGAGAGTCAGTCTGTGTGATGCTGTTGTTTTTCAGCCTGTAAACTCTTGTTTTCCTCTCAGTCAGATCACATCAGCCTCTCAGTGTTACTCCCCCCTCCCTCCCTCCCTCTCCCTCCCTCCCTCCCTCTCTGTGAGACTGAGTTCAGTTCAACAGAGAATATTCCTGTAAGTTCTGTGGACTCAGTTCCCGTCTCAGCTGCTCTTTTTAGAAACCGTTTGATGTGTTTAACAGAAGCTGCACATTTAACATCATCATCTTCATCTCAACACAGAGACACAGAGACACAGAGACACAGAGACACTGAGGGTTTTATATCTGTTCAACTTCAGTTTCACTTCAACTCCACAAACACGCTGAGTTAGGGGCTGTATGCTAGTTATTAGGTGAAGGGGGGGGGGGGTGTCAAGGACCTGAACTGACACAAATTAGATCATTTCCAACAGTGAAAATGATCCTGTTTACTTTAGATTATACATTATTATATAATTAGATGAGATTAAAGTGTTATTCCCCTTTTTGCCGGGGATCCTCAGGAACCACGTCATGGACCAGATCAGAGCTTCAGTGTCTGATCACTTGACCGATCAGTAGCCGACAGGATCAATACATCAGCTGGAGAAAGACATTTGATCTTTAAGACATTAAACATCATCTCTGCTAGCAGCTATATATGCTAACACCAGCCTGCTAACCTGCACACATTAACAATGCTAACATGCTAATGCAGTAACATCTTTTGCTTAGCAGTAAACACAGATAAATGATCATGTGTTTCACACTTTACTATTAATATATAATATATATAATAATATATCATAGTAAGTCATTAGTTGGATTAATTATAAACATTTATCAATCCTTTATAAGGGAAGTCTTTCTGTGACGTGGAACCAAATTCTTCACGATGAAACACGTTGTTCTGGTTCTGTTTTGTCAGACTGAGGTTTAAAATCCTGGTGGAGTCCGTGTGTGTGTGTGTGTGTGTGTGTGTGTGTGTGTGTGTGTGTGTGTGTGTGTGTGTGTGTGTGTGTTTAATGGCAGCAGCAGAGAGGGAGGAGGTCTCTGAAGTTTAGGAAGTGGTTGGGTGCAGCACTGAGCGCTGGCGACAGCTCCTGTCTGAGCACCGAGGCTTAAAACCTCGACCCCTCCTCACTGGGCTGAGGTCAGAGGTCAGAGGTTAATCCTCAGGTTCCTTTCATTGTCTGTTGGAGGGAAGCCCTGAGACACACACACACACACACACACAACCACAACCACAGTTTTCTGAGCAGCTCTTTAACATCCCACTTCTTTTGCAGCCGACGCAGTAAAATCCTCTGAGGACGAAGAAGACGATGAGTCATCGTCAGAGGAAAATAAACTCTCCAATGAACTGTCAACAAGCAACGAGAAGCTGCAGCGTGAGCCTCACTCTCTTCTTCTTCTTCTCCTTCTCTCTCTCTGTTCCTCTGCTGTTCGTTGTGTTGAGTGATTGTAACCTCGCTGGTGTCTCCTCGGCAGCGCTGGCGCCTCAGTGGGTGATGCCGGACAAGATGGAGAAGCAGCTCCACGCCGTCCCCGCCAGCAAGACGGTGAAGTTCCGTTGCCAGGCGACGGGGAACCCGGTCCCGTCGCTGCGCTGGTACAAGAACGGGAAGGAGTTCAGGAAGGACCAGAGAATCGGAGGCTTCAAGGTTCGTGTCCGAGTGTGTTCACGTGCACGACAGAGGCACCGCCAGCTGTTTGAACGTGTCTTCATTGATCCTCCATCTTTCAGATCAGAGATCACATGTGGACCCTCATCATGGAGTCAGTGGTTCCCTCTGATAAAGGGAACTACACCTGTGTGGTGGAGAACGAGTACGGGAGCCTCAAACACACCTACCTGCTTGATGTAGTTGGTAAGAAGTCTCACCTGTGTATTCAGACAACGTCCACACTGAGACGTCTTCTCCTCCTCCATCTTCACCTGTTCCTCTTCACCTCCTCTGCAGAGCGCTCTCCTCACCGGCCGATCCTGCAGGCCGGTCTGCCGGCGAACCAAACCGCCGTCGTCGGCAGCAACGTGGAGTTCGTGTGTCGGGTGTTCAGCGACCCGCAGCCTCACATCCAGTGGCTCAAACACATCACCATCAACGGCAGCAGAGTGGGACCGGACGGACACCGCTACGTCCTCATCCTCAAGGTGGGGTCACCTGGGGCCGGCTGCACCACCATGGCCATTATTATTATTACTTATTATTTAAAGCTCCATGTTTCTTCTTCTTCTGTGTTTTATCTGAAGTGTTGATCCATCAGAAGATATAAAAACCATCTCAGTGTAGTTTTACATCTCCTCTCTCAGGCTTCTCTCTGGAGCTCTAGTAACAACAGGTCGGTGAGCCAATCAGAAGAGAGGAGGCTCTGAGCCTCTCTTCTGATTGGCTGACTGTTTTCTGAGTGATCCAATAAAAATATAGCAGATTTCAGGTAAAAACACTCAGAGAAACCAAATCCTGCAAGGTTTGGATGGTGGGTCCAGGTGGGCGGGGCTTGGTGACTGCTTTGTTGTGACATCACAAAGTTCCAGAAGTCCTGACGGCTGGTTTTAAGGCTCAGTTTCTGAATACAGGCTGTGTGCATTTCTCTGTGGACTGAGGCTTTGATACTTTCACAGTATTAATATAGAAGCTAGAGCTGATCTATAATCACACTACACATGGACACAGACCTTTACACTGGATTAAAACGTGGTACCAGTATATTTAAATTTAATCCTAAAGGAAAACACGACCTTTCAAAATAAATGTTAGTTCCTCAAACGTTACTCTGCAGTTAGTTTTATACATAAGCTGAGATTTAATGGCAGCAGCATGTTGAGCTCTGCTGTAATTCGTTGTATTTGTTGGTGGTTGAGCAGCTCGTTAGTTTGCGTGACACGGGTTTGATTCCTCTGTGACAGAACAGAGTCAGACCACATCTGTGAAGTTTTGAGGACTCCTGATGAAAGACGCTCAGACTGGTTTTCTGTGCGCGGCGAGCGGCCAGCAGCCTCGCACGTCTCACTGTGTCCCTCCTCCAATCACAGCAGAGGCTGAGCGTAATGAGGATGAAATTAAAAACAGAGTCTCATCAGTTATTCAGTCGTTTCTAAACTATAAATGTCAGAGTGTTTCACTCAGCGGCAGCCTGGAAACTTTCCTCAATTATCTCCCACTTCCTACAAATTAAAGGTCGAGTGTTCCTGTAAACACACGAAGCTTCTGTTTACATCCAGAGTTACAAAAACAAAGGACGGATCCTGTGTCACATGTTGAAGACATTTCCTTCCTCAAACATTGGAATATTTGAATCATGGTTTCCATCACGTTCGTAGCCGCGATCATCATTCATCATCATCTTCATCTTCTTCTTCTTCTTCTTCTTCTTCTTCTTCTTCTTCTTCTTCTTCTTCTTCTTTGGTGTTTTGTTGATCTGCAGAACAGCATGAAACCAAATCCTGTCGCCTCCTCGTTTGTAAACACAAAGTCCTCAGGCGCCAACAGCGACTGACCCGCTGAGTTCTCCTCATGATGGAAACCTTATTTATTCTGGGAGAAATGTTCAGTTTACTTTGTGTTTCTACTGATGATTTACGTCGTGTGATGTCGGAGTGTTGACATCAACTCTCTCTCTCTCTCTCTCTCTCTCTCTCTCTCTCAGACTGCAGGTCTGAACACGACGGATAAGGAGATGGAGGTTCTGACTCTGAGGAACGTCTCTCTGGACGATGCGGGGGAGTACACCTGTCTGGCGGGAAACTCCATCGGCGTCTCCCACCACTCGGCGTGGCTCACTGTGGTGGACGGTGAGTGGAGACATTCAGACTGTGAAGCACCTCTCTCTCTCTCTCTCTCTCTCTCTCTCTCTATGTGTGAAGACCTGACTGTCTCTTGACTCCTCCCCCTCTCAGACCTGCCCCCCTCCCCCCTCCCCTCCCAGACATACCTGGAGATCTTCATCTACTGCCTGGGGTTTTTCATCATCATCATCCTCACTGCCACGGCGGTCATCTGCAGACTCTGCTGCGCCCCGAAGAAGAGCGACTTCAGCAGCCAGCTCGCCGTCCAGAAACTTGCCAAGAGCATTCCTCTGAGGAGACAGGTAAGATGGCCGCCGCTGTCCGAGGAGACGGGCGAGACGTCCGCCGCTGTCTCCAAAAAGTTCAATCGCCTTCAGACCTCCTGTCCCTCCTCTGCAGGTGTCGGTGGAGTCCTCGTCCTCGCTGCAGTCGGGGATGTGTCTGATGCGTCAGTCTCGTCTCTCCAGCGCCGCCACCACCCTCCTGGCGGGAGTGTCGGAGTACGAGCTCCCCTACGACCCGGTGTGGGAGCTTCCTCGAGACCGGTACGCCGTCTTCAACACAACCCGTCTGTGGAGCCGCTTATTAAACTGACTTTTCACACAAGATAAACATAAAGATGTTCCTTTGTTAGTCCCACTGGGGGGAGGGGGGGAGGGGGGGGGGGGTCGCGGGAAAGTGACAGAACAGAGAAAGAAAAACAAATGTGAAAAATGACCAGAACCAAATATTTAAAAAAGATAAATAATATAATGAAATCTAATATGTACAATTAAATACCAGATGATTAAGATACAAACAGCAGCAGATAACTTGTGTTGTGTTCAAGGTCAAACAGATCTTTGCTTCGTAAGGAAATGAACAGTTCTTGTGTCTGTGTTGAACCTGATGACGAGTCGATTCCTAATTACTCCTCCAGCTGAGACTTGTCAGTTCCTGGACGTAGTGAGTCATTTCTAGGCCCCGCCCACACCAGAGGTTACACCCTTCACTTATCTCCACCCTCCGCTGTGACCTCGGGTAACCTCATAACCAACAATGAGTGACAAACCTCTATGTGACTGTGTGTGTGTGTGTGTGTGTGTGTGTGTGTGTGTGTGTGTGTGTGTGTGTGTGTGTGTGTGTGTGTGTGTCAGGCTGACGCTGGGGAAGCCTCTGGGAGAAGGCTGCTTCGGTCAGGTGGTGCTGGCTGAGGCTGTGGGCGTCGACAGAAACAAGCCGACGCGCCTTACTAAGGTCGCCGTGAAGATGCTGAAAGGTGAGAGAGCCCTGACCCTTAAACGAGCTCCTCTAATTGGCCAAATATTTTCCCATCTCTGAACAGGTACAGAGACATGTGGATGTGAAAGTCGGAGCGCTTCGTCTTCAGTGAGCGATTATTCAGCAGCTGCGACTCGTTTGTAGTTATTGACTTTTGTTTGTAAAATATCCAAAAATTTTATTCGTGAGAAAATATTCCACAGTGGCGCTCCCCTCGTTCGCACATGTGCACGTCCATGACTTCACATTATTTGATACAGGTGTGTGAATGTGTTTTTGCAGCGACTGGAGCAAAAAATGAAGCTTGTGATTCATAAAACTGGATTTGTGCAGCTGAAGTGAAGAACTTGAGAATGTGAAACTGTTTGTGGGAGAGAGAATTAAAAGTGTGTAGCTCCCAAATTTACTGAAACACATGAGACTATTTCAAACAGCTACTAGCTCCAGTGTCGCAGGTGCTCAGGTGTGGAAAACACCTTCACACCCGGATCTGTGTCTGGAGACAGTTTGAAGGTAAACCTGAGCGTGAGGCTGATGTGTGATGATGTCACATGAACCTGTTGCAGCGGACGCCACAGAGAAGGACCTGTCCGACCTGATCTCCGAGATGGAGATGATGAAGATGATCGGGAAACACAAGAACATCATCAACCTGCTGGGAGCGTGCACTCAGGACGGTGAGTGTGTGTGACGAGCGTCTGTCAGCGCTGGTGTGTGGTGCAGATGTTAACGCTGCCCCCCCCCCCCCAGGACCTCTGTACGTGGTGGTGGAGTACGCCTCGCAGGGGAACCTCAGGGAGTTCCTCCGGGCTCGGCGGCCGGTCGGGTTGGAGTACTGGAGCGGGTCCAGACAGACCTCGCTGGGCAGCTTGGAGATCAGGGAGCTGGTGTCTGCGGCGTACCAGGTGGCCAGAGGGATGGCGTACCTCGCCTCCAAGAAGGTCAGACTCTATCTTTTATATTTAGTTTGTTTACGACGTTCTCAGTCACGATCTCTTTCACGTGACAGCAGCTGCTTCAGAACAAACATCGCGGTTTCCTCTGAAGCTGCTTCAGTGACGAGTCTAGAGAAAGTGCTGACAGGGAGAAAGTAAATCTGTCTTTCTACTCTGCTTGTTGATAAATTAGCACTGATCTAAACTAAACCACGACCAGGACGACATCAGCAGAAAGTCCCAGAGCAAACGTGAACCTGATGTTTTTATCAGTAACACACTTCATTCATAACAACACAACAACTAGAATTATACAATATACAATTAATGAACTGTTTCTCAAGCATTGGCGTGAGAAGTAGATCTGCACTCCTTCCTGTCTGAACATGTTGGATGGGTTGATCCTCTCTCTGTGGAGGACTCTCTGTTCCTCTGTGAAGTGACGAATGAGACTGAAGAAGAACCTCAACCGAGTCTGGAGTGACGCTCCTCCAGCTCTTTATTAATCCCAGCTCAAGTAGAATCTCTTATTGAACAGGGAAACTGACACACACACACACACACACACACACACACTGCTCCTTACAGGAAACAGTGATTACAGCCTGAACCATCAGGATTCTGGAGACCAAACTTTTATTTTCACTCAAACATCGTGAATTCTTCAGTATGAAAACGACTCACTCAGAAAATATGAAGTTCATCTCCTCCGTTTCCTTGTGTTCTTGTCTACAGGCCAGTGTTGCGCCATCCAATAGGGCGGCGATTTAGAGTTTATCTTGACTCAGTCTCACACACACACACACACACACACACACACTGTCCTGCTGATATCCTCTCTACAGCACCAAACGTGGGTTAATCCGCCGCTGAAAGTAGTCCTGAACAGATGCTCCGTTTGCCGCGGGTTAAACTTGTAGCTCTCAGCTGGTGTGACAGAATATAAACACGCGTCTCCTCTCTGATGCTCAGTGTATCCACAGAGACCTGGCGGCCAGGAACGTGCTGGTCACGGAGGACAACGTGATGAAGATCGCAGACTTCGGTCTGGCTCGAGACATCCACCACATCGACTACTACAAGAAGACGACTAACGTAAGACGACAGGACGATGTCAGCACGGCGTCAGTGGCGGGGCGATCGTGTGACTGACGGTGTGTTTTGTTCTGTTACAGGGCCGCCTGCCGGTGAAGTGGATGGCTCCTGAAGCTCTGTTCGACCGGATCTACACTCACCAGAGCGACGTGTGAGTCTCACAAACCGTCTTTGTCAGTTTCCTCCGGGAGGAGCCGCGACAGGCGCTGATGTCACGGGGTTTCTGGGGGTTTTTTCCTGCAGGTGGTCGTTTGGAGTCCTGCTGTGGGAGATCTTCACCCTCGGGGGGTCTCCTTACCCCGGGGTCCCTGTGGAGGAGCTCTTCAAGCTGCTGAAGGAGGGACACCGCATGGAGAAACCCTCCGCATGCACGCAGGAGCTGTGAGTACCCCCCCCCACACACACACACACACACTCCCTCCCTCTCTCTCTAACAGTGGTGTGTGTGTGTGTGTGTGTGTTCAGGTACCTGATGATGAGGGACTGCTGGCACGCCGTCCCCTCCCGCAGACCTACCTTCCAGCAGCTGGTAGAAGATTTAGACCGAACACTTTCTCTCATGGCAAATCAGGTGACTGTGATTTGAACATGATACACACACACACACACACACACACACACACACACACACACACACACATCACGTGTCGGTTCTCCATCAGATCCTTCCACAGAGACACAACTGCAACTTTAACGTCTTCATCTTAAAGCCCGTCTGTAAATCTGTTCATGCTTTTGAATCATGTGACGTTTTTATCTCATGGAAATAAATGAATGTTTCACATGAAGGGGAAAAATATTTTTAAAACATTTAAACCTGTTTACACAATCTCCCCCTGCTCACTTTATTAGGTACACCTCCACAGTCTGTTGTTGTCCAGTACGACAGCTCAGTGTTGGTTAAACTATCAGGCAGATGTTTATCCAGCTGTTCACACTGAGGTCGTAGTTAATGGAGAGTGTTTCTAATATTCTGACACCCTCATATATATATATATATATATATACATTAGTCCAGTTCAACACTAATTTATTTTAATCACTTATTTTATTGTAATTATGTTGTAAATTGTATTTTATTCTATTTTCTCTTCTTTTATTTTAGATTTTTTGTTTGCTGATGTTATTTTAGCTTTTTAAGTCTGTGACGCTCTTTGAACTAACCTGTATGAAAAGTGCTGGACAGATACAGTTTGACTGATTGATGGATTGATTGATTGATTGATTGATTGATAATAGAAACTACAGCCTGAGTAATAAACATTCAGATGAAGCGGTCTCTAATCCTCTGTCTGTCTCCTCAGGAGTACCTGGACCTGGCCGTCCCTCTGGTCCAGTACTGTCCGGTCAGCTCCTCTGCTTCCTGTTACTCCACATAAACGTCCTGGGACTGTTTCCCTTCATGCATCACCTTCATCCCGTTTCCTCTGCTGTGCTGGGCGGTGACGGCGGCGGCAGCAGAAGTCCCAGAAGAAGAAGAAGAAGAAGCTGGGCAGAGGAGCTCAGACGACGAGCTGCTCCACCGTCATCCATCACAGCAGCCTGATGTGAAGAACAGCTGGACTGAGCCGGACTCAGGAAGCAGCTCACACAGCGACTCCCCCACACGGGGCCAAAGACTGAGTTCACCCTCTGACACAGGACTGAGAGCCGGTTTGTTGCTGCGCTGCTGCTCACGACGATAATGTTCTCAGTGTGAATATTGTAAATAATAGTTTGTGTTTTATGGAAGACCAAACTGGATTTATTACAGAGAGAAAAAGAAACTAAAAACTAACTGAATGAATAAAATACACAAATAAATCTGTAAGAAAAATAAACTCTTTTGGTTTTATTTGGATTTATTTTCCATCTGCAGCTTCTGATTTATAGATTTATTTCTTGTGCATTTTATTCATGAAGTTATTCCTCAGTTTGTTTTGATGCATCGAGTTTGGTCGTCCACAGTGATGTCATGTTGCCAAAGATGATGCCAGCGTTACACCTCCACGTTGCACTTATCCTCCAGCTGACGACAGCCTGCAGTTACACCACACGCTTCTAGTTGAATGTGTAATAACTGATTAACAGTATTAAAATCCTCAAGTTTTTACTGAGGCTGTGATGTCGTGATGTTGATTCAATGGACAAAATGTGGTCAAAAATAATCATCTGCTTTCTACAGGACACACTGTTTTCCCACCCAACAACTGAGCACCTCCAAAATAAGAGCATCCATGGTGGATACATATTAAAGAATAAGAGCATCAGCTGTTTGTAAACGGTTTATAACACGTTTCCATCGTCACACGAGAAGCCGGACGAGGTGATGGAGACGATTCAGTCTCAGATTTTAATAAGTGACAGAAACTGTTGCATGAAGAGTGAAAACAGCTGACAGAGATGTTCAATCCCTGGCTCCTCCCACCTGAACACACCTGACCAATCACTGCATAACATGGGCGTGATCAGCTCTGTGTGTGTGTGTGTGTGTGTGTGTGTGTGTGTGTGTGTGTGAGAGACCTTGATGAAGCATGACTCCCAGTGTCTCCAACAGGACCTGTCTACTTGTTGAATATGTTCATGTACGTTGGACAAAAAGAGATGAATTGTGGGAAGACAGACTTGGCCGTGGGCCTCTGCATCATCTATCACACTCATCACACACACACACACACACACACACACACACACACACACACAGACCTTCCTCTGGTTGGTTTTCCCTGTGGAGCCTGAGGCAGCGTTTCCCTCCCGCAGGCAGGAAACAGTGTGTAACATACGACAGGAGAATATTCATCATGTAGCTCAGTGTTATTCCCTCTGTAGCTGACATTACAAACACAGTGTGTGTGTGCAGTGTATTCTGTTACAGACTCAGGTTGAACGGCCTCAGGCGTCCTCTCCTCTCCTTCCTGTTTTCTACAGAAACACTTCAGAGATCTCCGATTCCCCCAAAAACATGAATCACTTCCAGAGAAACAAAGATGCTGCATCATGAATCACTGGTAGAATACAGGTTTGTGTGGAAGGTTTTGAGTGAGGCGCACCTGAGGACGCCTCTGATTACAGGTAACCACCTGTTGGTAATCAGCTGATTGGCTCTTGTCGCTGAGAAGAAGTTAAAAGGATCCAAACAGGAAACTGAAGAAGGTAGAGCTGAAATGTCTGTGACTTTGCTTCTTTTATTCTCAGATCTGAGTATTTAAAACATCCTCCAGCACCAACTGATCAACATCTGTCACATCTGTAACACACACCAAAATATAATCAAAATCTCAATACGACCACGTGTCATGTCCAAATCACAGGAGCTGCAGTTTTCACGATGAAGGTAAGATGTGTCACATTGTTGTGCACTGTTAGCTTTAGCATTGTTAGCACCATCAGCTCATATCCTGCAGACCTGAAGGAAACATGTTTGTTTGGTACAAGAAACAACAACAATCATGTTTTGTTTTTTTAGTGAAAATGAAATTTGCAATGATTTTTTTTTTTTTTGCATATTGTGCAGAATTAGTTTTAATTTATCAAAACTTTTATGACCAAATACCTGCAAGAAAAATCACATTTCCATGAGCCTCAGCTGCACTTGTGATTGTTAGCATGTTAGCATCTAGCCTCAGAGAGCAGCTAGCATGGCTGCAGACTCTCTGTGTGGTTTAACTTTTGTTTTATTATGTTGTTTGTTTTTATGTGTTCACTTGTGCCTCTTTTATTAACTATGTTGTAACTTCTTTTTCCAAAACTTGTCTGAACAAAATGTTTCCCTGTTTTTTTTTTTCCCTCCAAACCCAGAGAACACTGAGGACTGTGGGTTTCCTCACAGCTGATATTTCACAGCTATAATTCCTGGAAATGAGGCCGTTAACGCTCCATGAGCTCTGCCGCCAGCCAGCACTCAGAGCTGTGACCCCCGCTGAGCTGCCGGAGCAAACACCTCTGTGAAGGATGTGAGGGGGGGGGGACGCTCGTCTTTCTCACCCCGTCCTGATGGAGGTTAATGGGCCGTAACGCCGAGGTGAGGAGCCGTGATGGGTCAGCCGTGACCGTGTGGACAGATGGCTGAGTGGAGCGGGAGCCATCGCGGTGTCACTTTTCACCTCCAACAGGCCTGGACAAACAGTGGGGAGGGAGGAAGTTATTTACCTCCATGTCTGAGTCTGTTTCCCAGGTGTCACCTCTCACCTGCTCCGCCAGTATCTACTGATGGTGGTGACATCATCCTTGTAATCTGCCTTTCATTGAAGTGAGTTAGACTTTATGTTTCCTCTTGCACTTTGTTGCGTTTTACTTTTTAGTGATGAAACGACTCTGACAACTCACACAGAAAAAACTTTTTGCCACATGTGTAAATGTAGTTTAAATCTGTATTTATGTGCAAGAGAAAAGCAAATCCAACAGAGCAAAAACCCCCCCCCCCCCACACACACACACACACACACACATCAACACACCCTCCCCCCTCAGAGACACCAAGGGAGAGAAACAAAAGACCAAGAAATTTGTTAAAAAGAAAGTTAAAAATTGAAGAAAGATAGATAAATAAAAACAAAAACAATAAAAGTAATAAGTAAAAGTTTTTTGTGCACAAATTGAAAATGTGCAGGTTAATGGAAACACACTTTTTTTTTTCTTTTAAATTCAACAAACTGGAGGAAATGGTGCTTTTGTTGGGGACTATTTTCAGCGGCGGATTAATCCACAATTTAACTGACTCTGCAAACAAGCTCCAGATTAATCATGTTTCTAACTGTTGTCATTCAGTGTCATGATGACCCTCGGTGCCGCCCTCATGTGGATGTTCTGGGAACAATCAGGAAGTCGGTTCTCCGGTTCTCTCTCCGTGACTCAGTAAATGAGATCTGTTGTTGTTGTGCTGCAGCTTCTCAGACACAGAGCTTCATCATAAAGAGCAGAGCTGCGACGCTGCGACGCTGCAACGCTGCGATGCTGCTGACTGTTTCTCTTTAAAGAGATTTTTGTTTAAACAATAAATCAGAAAAATCTCTGAGGAAACACTGAACACAGATTTCCATGTGCACAGTCGCCACCTGGTGGCGGCTCCACAAACTGCACTGATGAAGTCCAGCCTCAAAGTTCATCAGAAACTTTTACCTTTAAAACTTCAGCTGCATTTTACTGATAAGTAAAACTCTGAATTGATTACCAAGCTTTCACCTCATTCTCATGGTCTTCATCAGTGGCTGGATAAGTACCTATGCAGCTGTCTCTACCTGATAACAGCTGGCAGCGTAATAACCCCTGCCCCCATCTGCTGATGAAGACCATAAGGTTGAAAGCTCCAGAGAGAGGTAGTAAGAGGTCTTTGATTAAAGAGATAGACAAGTGAAGATTATCACTTACAACATGTTATAATCAGCAGTCCATTAATTCATCTGTTTATTTGTTATTTTATTCATTATTTGTTTTTGATTTTTCTCAATAACTTTATAATGATTCAGATTTTAAATGTTTGGTGCGAACAACATGAATAAAATCACAGGAGCCGAACTGAATCATTCACGTCGTTTATTTCTCACACAAAGAGCCGAGTCGTCAGATCTGACGTCACAGACGCAGGAACCTCCCGTTCTTTAAACGCCTCACACAACTTCCACTCCACAGTGACGTCAGACCGGCGACGTGGCCCCTGACCAGAGTCACAGAGAGGCCCCACGACCAGCGTGGACCCCCCCCTCCCCTCCCCAACCCCACAGCCTCTCCCCCTCACTACATTAAATACAACAGCTGCATAAATTAACTCCTTAAGAAAATAAATATCAATGGTTTTCACTGTAATCGGCCTCGTTTCAAACACGTCAGAACATCAAGACGATGAACTGAGCAAATATTAATAATAATAATTCATTAATATTAATAATAACATGTGTAATAATTATTATAATTCCCCGAATCACCATCTAAAGCCCTCGGCTGCCAAAGGTAATCATTGAAAGACATAACTGCATGTTACTGTGCGTGATTGTGAGTGTACGTTTGTTTTCTACTTCTCAGCGTTAACCCCGCCCTCGCTGTCGTCCACAGATCTCCTGGCGAACAGGTGGGTGGGGTCCCGGCCCCTGAAGCCTGGCTGGATGTTGAACACGGGCATGTTCCTCCAGCTGGACGGGTTGTTGTAGGAGGCGGAGCCAGAGCCGGCGGCGCAGGGTTTGTTCTGGACGAGCTGCAGGAACGTCTCCATGTCGGGGCCCAGCCGGGCGATGAGGCCGGCCCGCACCGCCGCCACCGTCTGCTCATCGCAGGCCTGCAGGGTCTGCAGCAGCGTGCTGTAGTATCTGGATGACACACACACACACACACACACACACACACAGATATCAGCAGAGTGTAGCATGACACCGACTCGACCTGCTTTTGGTCTCAGGTTCTTCTTTCTCAACTTAAGATAGTTCCTCATCAATGTGGCGTTGTTACTATGGCAACGGCGCACTAAGCTAAGGTGATGTCATCTTCTACAATAGCTGTAGAACCCAAATCGGGGGCTGCAGCCTTCAGAGGACGCGGGCCCCTGAACCCAAATGATCTACAGAGGATTTCATATTTGTCCTCGATCGCTGTCGTCAGCCATATTCTCTTTTTGAAAAGGGATTCGTCACCGGTGCGCAGGGAATCTTGGGATATGTCGGCCCACAAAGGATCCACCCGATGGATCCTTCGATGCCCGGGAACCTAAGGTTGCATTTGAAGGAACCTTCGAAGTGGGACAGGCTTGTTGTGTCGCTGTGACTCACTCGGTCTTCACATGCAGCCTTCGAAGGGTGCGGCTGTTTTAAAAATGGCGGGTTTTTCACTTTTCACTTGCCTCAGCTCGCTGGGACACTCGGCAGAGGTGATACCCCCCCAAAAAAAGAACCAGGTACCAGGTTCTATTCACAACCTTTGCTCCATAACAGGGACAAAAAGTCAGGAACAAAATGAGGAAGTAACACTTCACTGTCATCCCTTTGTTAGTGGTAAACAAATGTTTAATAAATAAATATAATCTTTATTTAATCCGGTCGTCTAACTGAAATGAAGATCTCTTTCATAACCGGACAAAACACAAGCTCATGCAGCATCAGAGACGGTCGCAGAGATCACTAACGAGCTCCAGCTTTTAGAATCAGACGTTCAGGTAATAAAACGCTTCAAAAGAGAGAAAGTAGATCCTTTAAAGCTGCAGCGTGTCTGTTGTTCTCATGACTGACCTCCAGGTGTCAGTGTTGTCACAGCGCTGCTGCCTCAACACGCTTGTTGTTATGACTTTGTGAATTCTTACATAAGTTTATTGAAGTGGCTTCAGGAGACTCATTAGATCTGTTTCAGTCAGAGACACTTGGATCTGGAGGGACAGACTGTGTTTAATCAGACATTAACATCTGTCACAGCACATCTGGGACATCTTTCCTCTCAGCTGTTGAAGCCTCTGTATATTGTGTCGTGGCTGTGAACGTGTGCGTCCTGAGTCCTCACCTGTTGGGGAAGTGAGTCGGCACCTGCACCACCTCTCCGATGGCGTCAGGGTTGGTACGAGCCACGGTGCAGATGTCCAGACTGGTGTAACACTCCTCTTGGACCTTTTTTTTTTAAAGGAGAGAAAAGAGAAAATGAAGAGAGGAGACAGAGGAGTGTCGTCTCCAGTCTGAGTCTCAGTGGGAGGAGTCACTGACCTCAGCGATCATCCTCTGGAAGATGTTGCAGCGGCGGATGGTTTGGAAAATCTTGGCTGTGATTCCCTGGGAGATGCAGTGCAGACTCTTCTTGACGAAAGTTTTCCCCTGCAGGACAACGGACATGTGTCAGACAGACAGACAGACAGACAGACAGACAGACAGGTGGTGGACAGGTGGGCAGGTGGACGGACAGATGGACAGACTGACCTCTGTGTTGAAGGTAGCAGCTGTGTGGAGGAAGAGTTCACAGATCTCATGCATCCCGTCAGTGTCACAGGTCGAGTTCTCCAGACAGGAGAAGAAGCCACAGCCCACAGCCACCGCTCCGTTCAAACATCTGGCCACATCAGCTGCAGACAGAGACACACACACACACTGAAGTCTTTTCCCTGGCAGCCGTTGGTTTCCATTCATCCGGAGACAGTCTGACGACGATCGTAACTGTCAAGTCTTTCTACTATTAAATAATAATAACGCTGTTAAATATGTACAAAAAAGTAAAGATAATGTAAAATATGTAGTAAATGGGCTGAAATATAGAAAACTCTGAAACAATTAGTCCATTAAATGATTCGTCCACTGAAAGAAAATGAATCTGAAACTGTTTCTTTAAACTTGTTTCATGACAGATTCAAGCTTTTTAAAGATTTTATTTCTTTCCTGTGTTTTCTGACAGTTAACTGAATATATTTAACTGCAGGCAGAAAATGGAAATATGCATCTAAAGGAAAAGTTCCTGAAACTGCACACACTGTGAACTCTGACCTGGTTCATAATATGTAAATAATGTAAATAAATTAGAAGTGAATCTCAGTCCATTCTGCAACATTACTGATTTCCTTGGCAGCCATTGTTCTCCATTCATTCCACTACTTTGCTGTTGTCTGCCTGGACACAACGATGTGCACAAACAGAAATAAGGAAAGAAACAAAAGCTTTGAAAATGTAAATAATGTGTAATTAGCAGTGACTGGACCGGAGCATGAAAAACACCATGTGGTCCTTTAGAAGTAAAAACAGGAGAGAAGTTCAGCCCAGAGTGAGAGCAGGCTGCAAGCTGCAAACCTCCAACCCAGAAGAAGAAACCAAGTTCTCCAGAAACAGGACTCACTCGGGCTGTTGGCGGAGAACCGTGCCCGGCGGGGAGCAGCCTCCTCCGGCAGCAGCTCGAAGCAGGCGGCGGAGCCGAGGATGAGGGGCAGGAGCAGAGCGGAGCCGGGCAGCATGCTGTCTCACGGTGAGGAGGATGAGGATGATGAAGAAGTTGTAGTCAGGGTTTCCTTCGGTCTTCCTCCTGATCCTGTCTGTCCCGCCGCAGCCTCCACAGCTGGTATTTATATGAGGCCCGGTTGGGACTGACCAATCAGAGCGCGCCGTTTCCCGCGGGGGCGCAGTTAATGGTTTATTCATGGTTGTAATTAACCCACAGAGCTAATTGGATATTTCCACACGAGACACGACGGAATTTCCGAGCAGCAGTGAACTCACCGGCTAATTTTAGACTTTGTCTTTTCATTTGTTTCTTTAAATCCCTCCATAATAATACAAACTAATAGTAATATATATGGTGACATAATAAAAATGAGAACATGTGTTTATTACAGGGAGAATCAACAGAACCAATAAAACAATCATATAAAACAGGCTTCATCCATAAAGTGACTTTTACAGTGTTTTCTAACATAATAACCTGCAGTCTGATTGGAACCAGGTCATTTAAATAAATTGGTGTCGGGTGTATTCCTGGGTGTTTTCACACACACCCGTGGGAGCCTGTTATCTGTAATAATTGAACTTTCTAAAAATAGCAGATCTCAGGAAACGGACGCGTCAGTTTCTAATTCCAGTCACGTCTGTTGTTTCTCCTGTGTAGTGGATCAGTCGAGCAGAAACAGCTGATCGGTGATGGTGGACACAGGAGGGCGGTTCAAAGGTTCCTCTGAGAACCTGCGGCGGAGGAACACAGTCTGTGCGGGACAGACGGAGGTACTTCCGTCTTTTACCAGAGTAAAAGTAAAAATACTCCATTACAAGTAAAAGTCCTGTTCAACTCAAAGACAGATATATCCTCCGCTTCATGTAGCTGCAGTATCAGAGTAAAATACTTCCTGTATAAGTATTAAAGTAAAAGTGCATCATGTAGTTGAAGTATAAGACTAAAAGTACTTCATGTAGTTTGAGTATAGGAGTAAAAGTACTTCATGTAGTTGAGGTATAAGAGAGTAAAAGTACTTCCTGTGGTTTAAGTATAAAGGTAAAGTACTTAATACAGTCAAAGTATCACAGTAAAAATATGTTACCTAATTAAAGTATAGGAGTAAAAGTACTTCATAGGTCTATCACAGTCAAAGTACTTCAGGTAGTTAAAGTATAAGAATAAAGTACTTATTGCAGTTAAAGTATCAACGTAAAAGTACTTCCTGTAGTAACAGTATGAGAGTAAAAGTACTTCCTGTAGTTAAAGTATTAGAGTAAAGGTATGTCCTGTTTTTAAAGTATTAGAGTAAAGGTACTTCCTGTAGTTAAAGTATTAGAGTAAAAGTACTTCCTGTAATTAAAGTATTAGAGTAAAAGTACTTCCTGTAGTAAAAGTATCAAAGTAAAGGTACTTCCTGTAGTTAAAGTATTAGAGTAAAAGTACCTCCTGTAGTTACAGTATGAGAGTAAAAGTACCTCCTGTAGTTACAGTATGAGAGTAAAGGTACTTCCTGTAGTTACAGTATGAGCGTAAAAGTACCTCCTGTAGTTACAGTATTAGAGTAAAAGTACTTCCTGTAGTAAAAGTATCAAAGTAAAGGTACTTCCTGTAGTTAAAGTATTAGAGTAAAAGTACCTCCTGTAGTTACAGTATCACAGTAAAAGTAGTTCAACCTAGGGGTCGGGCCCCTCCACAGGGTCACCAGATAAACCTGAGAGGTCGTCAGATGATTCACGAGAGGAAAGAAGAAAAGAGTTCGACTTGACAAATCTGTTTTCAGTTTTTGGACTTTTCTCAAATATTTGTTTTTATTATGAACATTTTGTATAAACGTTTCCATTTGTGCCTGAAACAGATTTTTAAATGAAGCCATGTGAGACGTTCAGGGAGGCGGAGCTGCCGACAACCGAGAGACACAGCTACACCGAAGACGTCACAAAGCAAACGTGTCGGGATCCTCTGGTTTAATCTGAGGGAGTGAGTGTATCATATGTTTTTTTAATGAAAAATCTGTAACTGCAGCTGAAAGTTAAAAGGGATGAAGTAAAAAGTCAAATATTTCCCTCTGAGACGTGGTGAAGTATGAAGTTTGATGTAATGAATAAATCTGACTCATTCCTCTGTCGGATGTTCCTGCAGACTATTTCGTGAGATTTCTGAATGGAGTCCGGATTATTCAGAGGTTTCTGAGTCTGATCCCTCGATCCTCCTAATCCCTCCTGGGCCCTGGTCTTCATAATAACTGAACTGCAGCACCATTTGATGATTTTTTTGTTTTGTTTTTCAGAGCTTCTTTAAAGTTGATCTGGAGTTTCAGTTTTTCAACTCAAACCTGCAAAAACACGGCAGTTAATTCTCTCTGAACTGGGTCAAGACAAACAAACTGTTCGAGTTTTCCACAGTCAGACAAACAAAATAAATAGATAAAATGTTTTAAACAGATATACATTAAAACAACAAAACAATGCAGAGCACAGAGATGACAGCGAGCCACACAAATCTATAGTCAAAGGCATAAAACAATATTAAAATATTGGTAATACTTCAAAATAAATCCCTTTATTTATAGCATTTAAACAAATCAATTTATAAACATTTAAAAAAGGGTTTACAACACACTGTGTTTATTTATATGTTACCATTAACAACTATAACTCCTCCCCTAAGTTGAGGCTGCTGTATGAACTTGATGGATGACAATATATTAAAACACAGTTGTAATAAATAAATGCTACACATTAATAAACAATTAATGTCCTTTGTGTTTGTTTATAACTCCATTATGGTGTGTTAGAAACCACTTATTAAATATGTATATACTGCTAATACATATGAAGCTATTTAGGGGATTTAAAGTGAAGTCTTACCTAAATATTTATTACAAAAAGATTTTTAAAAGATAACAAAATTACAAATAAATTTACCTAGACAAATAAATAAAAGGAATAGGCTGAACACAGCGACAATCTACATTTCCACATCATTATATCTCATTATAAACATTAATATATATATTTTTAAATAAATTTTACAACAGGTTAGATATTTTAACGATGAATTGAAGTGTCAATAATTATAGAAACACTTTCCCATGTGTCAAATTATTTCTTTAAGAAAATTAAATTTCAAATTAAGTTATTTTGATTTTGTGTCTCGTGAAATCAGTTCCAGACTATCGAAGCAGAATAACTGATTTAAATGTCCAGGAGCTGTGAGGTACAGATCCCTGTTGTTGCTGCCGATGTGGAAAAATGTGAGTGTCTTATCTCTGCGCCAGTCACCAGTAAAGTGTGAGAGAGTCGTTAGTGAAGACGGCTGCGTTTCCATCATGGCCTGGTTCACCACAGGAACCAGTGAACCTCGCACACCTCCGCTGACTTCATTAGCCCGAGGGTCAACAGGCGCTGATAAACATCTCTCACACTTTGGTTTTCATGACCTCCCCCTCCAGCACACGCTCACCTCTCCAAACCAGAGCATGTGGGAAAAATTATCATCTTAGGGAAAATCTCTGGCTTGTTAAAGTGGCAGAGATCCAATTACACCACCAGTCAAAAAAGCATTATTTGTTCTGTGCTTCAATTTCAGATGCACAATAAATGTCAGAGTTCAGTCAACTGTATTGTTTTAATCTTCAACTAATTCCCTGATTCATTTGAAAGCATCACACAAACACTGAAACTGAACACAGATCACAATTCAGTCCAAGAAACCACGAGCGAGGGCATGTCATTATCAGTATAAAGATGCTATTCTGAGAATGGGTTTCAGCAAAATACCACAAAAAAGTTGAAATATGCAAACCACCTCCATGCTGAAGTGTACAATACAAACAGACAAACCAATAAGCAGCCAGCCTGAGGGCACATCTACAGATTAGTCAGTCAGTTGCTGACCAAACCAAAACTAGACTAAAATATAACTTGGTTCTAGAAAAACCCTCGTGTGGTTTTAGTGGGAAAAAAATGCAAAAAAAATACCTTTTTAATGGTCAGTTAAACTGTCAACAACAGTGCTAGAAACAGACCACAATCGTTCTGTTCTCACAGGGACATGTTCAGTTCATAATGATGATTTATGATCAAAATTCACCATCATTTTGGAAATAATTGATCAGACGTCTCATTTAAGTTGATAACTGGTGATTTTGCAGAAATGACTGTTTGAAGCAACTTTTAGCTCCATTAGTTTCTGACTGGCTTTTTAGTATTTGAAGCTTATTCATTTTAAACCAAGAACATCTTATCATCAAACACCAGGTGTTGAGTAGATGGTGATTTTATGGTTAAAACGAGGTTGCCAGACTTTGGCCCAAATATACTCACTCAATGTTTTGCTGAAAATAGAAAAAAATCACTGGCACCAACAGAAAAAGTAAATCAGAACACAAAACAAATTAACATATATTACTTTCAACCAATTTTAGATTGACGTCATAGGTATTTTGCTGGATCTGTCGTCAAAGTTAGCCTGACTGGTGTTAGCTAAAATTAGCCCGCCTCGCTTGCGAGCTATGATCAACCTGCCTCATTTGCTAGCAAGTTTAGCCCGCGTTGCTTGTTAGCTGAAATTAGCCTGCCTCACTTGCAAATGAAAATTAACCTGCCTCGTTTGCTAGCTAAAATTAACCCGCCTCGCTTGTTAGCTAGTAGCCCCCCTCGCTTGTTAGCCAAAATTAACCCACCTCAAATGTTAGCTGAAATTAGCCCGCCTCGCTTGCAAATGAAAATTAACCTGCCTCGTTTGCTAGCTAAAATTAGCCCACCTCGCTTGTTAGCTAGTAGCCCACCTAACATGTTAGCTTAATTTAGCCCGCCTCGCTTGTTAGCTAAAATTAGCCAAAATTAGCCCACCTCGCTTGTTAGCTAAAATTAGCTTGCCTTAGCAAATATTAGCTACAGGCTATCGGTGATTTGGATCAGTTCAATTCAATGCATTTGATGGCTAAACACATAATATCTGATCAAAGCTAAAACAAATACTGTAGGTCCCAGGTAAAAAGTCAACATCCTCACTCATCAGTTGATGATCCATGTAGAAAACAAAGGAAATAAGGAAACAACACTGTTCATTACACTATAGAGTTAATTAGTCATTTTATTCAGAGTGTGCAGGAAAAATATAAGATCAGACTTATTTATCAGAGTTATTTTGTTCTAACAAAACCCTGTTTGGCTGCTTAGCTTAAATACATGTTCATACAGCCATCAGCCACAACATGAACTGGTTTTAATGTTGTGGCTGGTTGTTGTATATTATAATAATAATGTCTTGTTCTGTCCTCTGACTTTCATTCCTTCTCTCTCATATGGCTTCACTTCCTCTTTCTGAAGAACCCTGTTCCCGCTGTTTTCTTTGTTCCGTCGGCATTTTAAAACTCAAGGTCCCAACCGGACTCTTCATCAGGAGGAGGGTCATCACTGTCCTCTGGGAAATAGTCAAAGTTGCTGTTGTCCAGTGGCCCGTCCACCTGATAGAGAAACACAGGGTATTACTCATGCTTTCATCTCTATATTTAGTACCTCAGACACACTGAAAGATACCCACTGTGGGTGTGAATGGAGAGTCGATGGTTCCCTGGCGGAGGCCGTCCCAGTTGAAGCCCTCAAACCACCTGAAGGACAAGGACGTGCTGCCATGACTACAGTTTCATCTCCCACAGAAAGCAAGCACTCAGAGTGAGAGTGAAATGACATGATAAGCATCTTTACTGCCTCACTTGTGTTTCTGGATGTCCTTCACGCCGTTTTTCTGATTCCCCAGCCTCTCTGACGGATTGTCCCTGGGAGCACCCACACAAACAGATGAGAAATTAACCATGAAAACCCAGCCACGTGTTTTATCTGTGCGGTTAAAGGAGCAGTGACAACCTGCAGAGTCGTTTGATGAGGTTGGCGGCGCTCTTGGTGATCTTTTTAGGAAACTCGATCATGTCGATGCCTCTCAGGATGATGTTGTAGGTCTTCATGGGATCAGAGCCGGAAAATGGAGGACTGGAGACAGAGAGCGGAGACCAAAAACCTTAACAGGCTTATTTAATCAACCAGGACAAGAACCAATTTAGTTCCTCACTTCAGACTTCATAAAATAGTGAATACAGTGTCAGATTTTCAGGTTACCAAGGATGAAATATTCAGTCATTCAAACGACGCATTCATTTCCACAGAGCTGTTCTGCCACAGTTGGATAACATCACATCATCATCACATCCTGTCTGCAGAGCACATACCACAAGTAATGAGTGTTGCTGAGGTGACGATGGCTGCACTGACCATGGAAAACACAGGAATGTGGAAAAAGATGCAGCAGCTGATTTTTTTATTGTATTTGAGTTCCTGAATTATAGATCTCCTCACTAGCAGAGAAGAAACAGATCAATGAAGAGAAAAGGTTTTGGACCAGGAGGAAACAGCCAGCAGCAGCAGCGAGCTCTGTCCAAAGGACAGACGGTATTTTCTGTGTGTGTCAGAGATCTGTGCACGGTGTGTGGAAGATACAGAACAGATGCAGATCTTTGGCAAATGCAGATGTTGTGTTCATTGTTGTCGGTTGACATGTACACCACCCAGGGTCGCCACCGGGTTGTTCTCTTTTTTTTTGAGCGACTGTGCTGGAAAATGAATATTCTTTCCCGGGACACGAATTGTCCCAGCTTTTGTGACGGTGCACGTTTAATTTAGAATCTAAATTTCCTTCCACTGCTTTTCTGTTTTCCTCTTGGTTATGTCCCACCCTGTGTCTGTAAACGTATGAAAACAGGTTCAACCAGAACGGTGGCATTGATAGCGTTTGGTCATACTGAGTCCCCGGTTCGTCTCCCTGTCCTGCACGTCTCAAAACAACTTCAGTTTATTTTGTTTCAGTGGTAAAATGGGGAAAGATGGACGAGGAGGACGTCGCAACAATATCAGGTGAAGAATTGTTAAAAGGTGGCAACCCCTAACGCCATCGTGGAGGCGTTCCTGCAGTGCATCTTGGGATTAGTTAAACCCTGAATTTTGAGGGGAACAAAGTAGATTTCTCTCTGGTTTTAGAGGGACGAGATGTCTGGAGGGACAGACGTGTTACTGTGAAGGACCGAAGCAGAATGGGAAACAAAATGTCGGGTCTCGTTGAGCTTTCTGACACGACACTGAAGTAAAAGGTGTAGACTCTGCTGCTGTACCTGCCACTCAGCAGCTCAAAGACCAGTATCCCCAAAGACCAGCAGTCCGCTGAGCTGTCGTGGCCTTTGTTCAGGATGATCTCAGGGGCCACGTACTCAGGAGTCCCACAAAACGTCCACGTCTTCTTACCCAGACCCACCTTCTTAGCGAAGCCAAAGTCCACCTGTGGGACAGAAACAAACACTGAGCGCTCTGTCTGTGAAGTTGTTGACCCGTGTTATTGTGACATATGAGGAAACCGTGTGCGCACCAGCTTGGCGTATCCCCTGTGGTCCAGGATGATGTTCTCAGGTTTGAGGTCTCTGTAGATGATTCCTCTGGTGTGCAGGGAAGCCAGCGCCTCGATGACACAGCCCGTGTAAAACCGAGTGGTGCCGTCATCAAACGAACCCCTGGAACAGAGGCAGAGGATGAGGATGTCACGGTCCGTCATGGATGAACATACAAACAGGAAACTGAATGAAACTGCGTGTACAGATGCCTGACAACACCTGTCTCTCAGCAGCGTCCACAGTTCTCCTCCCAGACAGGCCTCCAGCAGCATGTAGAGGTATTTAGAGTCTCTGAAGGTCTGGTACAACCTGCAGAGAGAAGAAGAGTGTGTGTGTGTGTGTGTGTGTAAAGGTGAGATCTACGTCTTTGATGTGAGAAAGTACGGATGCAACAGAGGAGAACATGTTCTAGTGTTGGGTATGGATGGTTCTCATGTCACTTCCTGTTTTACTGCGATGAGTCTAACTTTTCCCTCTCGTTTCAGATGTAAACTTCCTGCCATTGTGTGTTTCCCGCTCCTGTGATGGTCAACCCCGCCCCTAATGTGTTGCACCTGTGTCTAGACTCAAACCAACAGTGTGTATGTCAGTTTCTTCTGACGTTCCTCGTCTGTCTGTGGCTCTCAGCTCTGAGCCCATTGATGTAAATCTTTAAAAACGCCTCATAAAAATAATTTGGTTTCATTTTTAGCTCTGCAGCTTTTATCAAACAAACAGGAGGAAACCGGGTGTTTGTTGGGATTAATCCACATTTGGTGGAACCTGGCTACAGGTGGCAATGCTAAATGCTAAACTGTAGCGTAGCAGTAGCATGATGCATGAAGAGGACAGCATTAAAATGGGGTTTTATGTCTAATGTGGATGCTGGGTTCAGACTGACCTCAGGCGTCCATGTTGGAAGTTTATATGTATTCACATGTTCAGAAAAAGCTTACATCTAACCGCTTGTAATTCACAGTAGTGATCATGTTGGTGTGAATGGTCTTTACTTGTTGAAACATGGTCATTACAAAGATCTGGACTCATTAACTCTGGATCTGTTGCATCTCTTTAGTCTCCTGCGCCACAGACTGAGCACAGACTTTCCAGGGAGGTAATTAAAGAAAACCTCGTTCCACTAATTAGATCCTCTTAGTTGTGAAGGATGTTGTCGTTTACGTTTAATTACACCTGGATAAAACCTGCAAGTGAAAAGTGCAGTGCGACCTGATGATGAAGGGACTGTGAGCCTCCATCATGATGCGGCGCTCTGACAGGATGTGGCCCTGCTGGCTCGTGTCCAGGATGTGACGTTTCTTCAACACTTTGAGGGCGAACGACCGACTGAGGTCGTTCTTTAACTGCACCTGAAAACACACAAACACACACAGTCAGTGCAGACACACAAGAATAACATGCATGTACAAACTGACAGCAGCTACAGACCAACATACACCCACCAGCTCCACGCGGCTGAAGCCTCCCATCCCCAGGGTGCAGATGATATTGAAATCGCTGAGTGAGACGCTGGAGAAGAAGTCGGCCTCTGCCTGCAGCCTGCAGAGAGAGGAAGGAACAAAGAGGGTGAGTAATAATTCTCACTGAGAGTTATCAATCAATCTGTTCCGCTTCAGAGCCGGACGTGTCCAGGTTCGACAAAGAGTCTCTGTGTTCCTTCACGCAGGACGGGACACCACAGGGTCAGAGGAAGATTATCGACCTGAACAAGATGGAGGAATTGCATCATTGTGAAGAGACAGCAACTACTCCAGGTGCACGACACCTCCTCCGTCAGATGTGGAGACGTCAAGGAGAAGAAAAGTGCAGAAGTAAGTGACGGTAAGAAAAGAAACAGTGTGTGAGTGGAGGTATGTGGCCTCCAGGCTCAGAGTGTGACTGATGTGAAACACCAAACAGACAATTAAACTCCCTGTGAGACTCCGGGTGATTACAGGATAATGACTGTGTGGATGTACAGGACTGTGGCTGTTTACTTCCTCTGAGCGAGCCGAGACGAACCAGGAACTAAAATAACAGAAGAGGAAGAAAGAAAAGGATGTTTTCATGTTTCACTCCTTCAGATTGTACACATGTAATATTTTTAATGAATACACATGACTGATGTTAGAGCTGCTGCTTCTACAAATCACTATAATTAATATTATCGTCCAGGGGCCGGTTGTAGAAAACACCTTAAGGATGAGACTTTAGCTGAGGGAGTTACTCAAGGGTGTTTCACAGAATCTCTTAAAGTGTTTCCTGAGTTAAGAGAAAACATTGAGGCTTTTGCAGCAGTTAAAGAGATTTTACAGCGCTACTGTTTCCATGGAGACTGTAGATCCGCAGCCATTAGTGCTTGTGATACCCTGTTGACAATAAAGAAGTGCGCCGCTATCTAAACCTTGTGTGATTTTGGCGGGAACTTCATCACGCCTTGACTACGCCTGACCGGAAACATCATGTGACATAAAACCACAGAGCTCATTAAGCTGCTGAGAGTCCAGAGATCCACGTTAAGGGTGTTTAGTGCAACTGTTTTTAATTTTAAGGAAAGGAGGGAGGGCGGACGCATCATTGGCACAGTTCAAGAGTATTAACAGATACATAGATGAATTTATTGGACAAGGTCAGTCAGCTGATGAATGAGCCACAGAGCATGAAAGAAAAAGCAGCTAACGCTAGCACGACTGCACTCCTCCCCCTGGACTGACGCGGTTTCATTCAGTTCATAAATAAGGTTTATTATTGAGTTTATTATTATTATCATCAGTAATAATAATATGCAGCTGATGGTCTGATACGGAGCTGTTACACAAACCTCCGAACACACGAGCGCAGACGCTGTTTCAGACTGAACTCACTTCGCTTTGACCTCGTCGCTGTCGTACTGCTTGTTGTTGACGTCGTCCAGTCCTCCAATCAGCTGCTTGAAAGACCTGAGACACAAAACAAACGAGCCGCTGAACCAACCGGCTACACAAAGGTTCCTTTTAAAGGGCGAGCGCGCCGCTGACTCCACCGCCGTATAAAAACGTTTATTTCTGGTGAACAAAGAGAAGCATTCACTCTCTGTCGATGACCAGACATGTGACGTCTCCCACGGCGGTGACACTGGCGGTTCGAACGTCCTCCCTGCAACACAGAGAAAGAGAAATATAGACTCTGTTTGTTGGACTGTTTACTGTTGGACTCAAGTCTGTGTTGGAGCGTCATGTTTACTGATATGAACGATACAAACGTAAAGTATATGAAACACATTATCTTAAATAAGAAGATGGTAGTTTGTTGAAGTTTGTTGGTAGATTTCCCAGCAGCCATTGTTTTCCTCTCATTTCAGAATTAGATGAACATGAACTTGAACTCACAGTAACCTTGTTTACAGGTGATTTATACATGTAGGTATGTATCTTTAACTTTTATAAATTCACACAGGACATGTTTTTGGTTGCTGAGACTTTAAATGTTCCTGTTCACTGTTGTTAACGTAACTTTGGCAGCAGCGGCCCAATCAAAGCGCCTCTATTCATTTTCCGCAGCAGCGGTCTCCAACCTCTTCCAGCTCATGGCCACTTGAAAACCTCCAAAATGTCTGCGGCCCACATCAACACAAAGTCCAAATCATAACTCCTCAATAACGATCGTGAAAAAAGAGGAACTCAGTTTTCTGTTTTGTTTGACAGGGGACAGGTCGCTTGTCGGTTCATCATCTCACCTCTTTTCTTTAATTCTTCCTTTCTCTCCAGTTTTTTTTATCATAGATTTAATCTGTTCCGCACAATCAGACTGAGATAACAAACAGTCTATGATGTGGTCCAGCAGCAGGATAAAAGTTCACTGGCTTTTTCTAATGCAAGAAAAAGAGTTTTTAAACATTTTTAAAGATCATTTCATTTAAAAACGTTTATATTTTTCTTTATTTTACTACATATTGTACCGTTTGTGGGCCCACAGGTTGGGAACCACGGCTCTATGGAGTGTGAGTGATTCACTTGTTTCCGACGGTGATGCACCTCAAAATCTATGCACATCACTTCTCTGTATAAAATCTGATCTGATCTTGTTACTTTAAGCTAAATTTCTCATTAAAACTATTCATTTTAAAGAAGACAAGCAGCAAATCCAAACATTTACGATGGCGGAAGCTAAAAAACGTTTGACTTTTTTGCTGAAAAAGAAGCTGAAACTGAAGTTTAAACGTCTGGACCAATCGATCGATGGGAGGACGTCAGGATGAATCGACACAGAATAAAAAAGCTAAACATACATGAATAACACGGGGTGAAAATGTGCTGTGGTTTCTGTCTGAACACGTCATTCAGAGGCGTCATGACATCATGGCTCTGAGATAACAGACATGACACATACAGCCACTAGAGGCCGCTGTCAGGTGAACATGAGCGTTGCCTGCACTAATGAATCTAACATTGTGTTGAAGTGTGAGCGACTCTCAGTGAATAATCTGTGCTTCACCCTTTCAGCGCCTGCTCTCCGAACCAGTCTCCTTTAGAGAGCGTCTTCACGGTCACCTGCTCGTCGCCGGCTGCGTTCTGCTGAGAGACTCTCACCTGCGGAGATCACAGATCACAACCTTCAGCACTCCCGCCTAAAAATAAGAGCGGCTCACAGCTCAGTCAACACTGAATACATCGTCATTAAGGAGGAAGAAAAGCCTTCGCAGAAACAGCTAGAGACACAGTGAGTGTGAACTCTTCTTCCCGTCCTCCAGAGCCAACAGTGACTTTCTCTCTCTCAGTTTTCATGTTGCGGTTCTGAGCTCAGACAGTCCTGAGACTTCTCCCTGTCGTTGCCTTTAAATTGGCCCTGACAACACACACAAACATTATCACATTATCCTCTTCCACAGTGTCCATTTGTACTTGTTTATCTGCTGGATTTGATTTTCCAGCCGCTCATGAAATCTCAGCAGTGCAGCCGAGAAGATTCACAGCATCTGTACATGCAAGATTACAGTTAGAGAACGACCCCTGATTGATACCAGGACAACTCTGATGAATAAAAATAATAATAAATAAATGAAACAAAGCTGCCCAGTCTGTCACTGTGATGGATTATCTCTCTTGAGAAAAAGTTAAGACCCTGTAAATTGATTTTTGCCATGAACTGAAATGAACTGAGCTTGTTTCTTCAGTAAAAACTGTGACACACAGAATCTGACCCTGGATCTGAGCTGGGAAGCAACTTTAAAACTTTAACAGAAGAAAAGTATTTGTTATACGGGTCATTATTTTTCACATATTTATCTCCGGATAGATTTTTTGGGTTAGGGTTTTTCCCCTGCGGCCTGAGAAGCATTTTCCTCATAAACCACCGTTATAAATAAAAGAGGGTTCTGTAAAATATTAATTCAGACGACGATGTTGTTGTAAAGTCAAACTGTGGAGAAAGATGCCAACCATGAACCACAATGCCTCAGTTCGAATTCGGCCATCATCACTGTTGTATCTCTCTCGTTTGTTTCCTGGCGTCTCTCTACTCCTGTTGTCTAATAATCTTTTCATTTTGGTGTTCAGCATTTTTTTTTTTTATGGCTTTTTTTAACAAGATATTTTCCAACATTTGCATCAGTTTCTCAAGAAATATATAATAATACATTACATACGCTTATGGTGAAGTCTGTGAGTCTGTGTAATAATGTGGAGCTCACAGATCTGTGTGGGCTTGTTTGGCCTTGGTGGAGGTATGTGCTCTACTGAGTGTCATTCTAGCTTTATATTTATTGTTGGTTCTGTTTTCAGGTGCATCTCTCCTGAGCTGCACTAAACTCCTGTTTGAGTTAATAAATAAAATCTGCCTGACTTCTGTATCTTTCGTTGCTGTGCAGGATGAACAATCTTGTTTCACCTTTAAGGATTAATACGGTAATCTAATCTCATCTCAATTGATCTAATCGAATCTAATCCAATCCAATCCAATCCAATCCAATCCAATCTAAACTAAACTAATCTAATCTAATTTTATCCAATCCCATCTCATCTCATTTAAACTAATCTCATGTCATCTAGTCTAATTTAATCTAATCTCATCTAATCTCATCTCTTCTAATCTAATCCAAACCAATCTAATCTCATTTTGTCTAATCTAATTTAATTTCATCTCATCTCATATAATTCAATCTAATATAATCTAATCTAATTTAATCTAATATAATATCATCTCCTCTAATATCATGTAATCTCATTTTGTCTAATATTGGTCCAGACTGAATAGTGAAACATCAGAGCTGTTTGGACTAATTGATATGTTTAGTCAAAAGGTTTTATATAAAAAGAAAAGCTCCTGCATCGTTTCCTGTTTTCTGTGGTTGCCATGGTTTCTCTTTTTGAATTTTCAGCAAATTCATGAAAGCAACAGAGGTCAGCAACTCGGCTGCTGCCGCCGCCTCGTTTACATCAGAAAACAATGGAGGTCGGTTTGCAAAGTGACCTGCAGTAGTTTGTAGGTAACGGGTTAAAACATGCAAAACAACCGGCGGCCTCTTGGGTCAACTGGACGTTACTTGTTAATGTCATTTCTGTAAACCACCAGCTCTGTAATCACCCTTTTCTTCCTCTTTCCCTCCCTGTTGATTGTTCTCCTCTTTATACCTCCCCAATAAATCTTTCATCCCCCTGTCATCGTTTTTCCTCACCTGTCCTTCACTGATGATGAAGAATGTGTCTCCGGTGGCTCCCTGACGGATAATGTAATCACCGTCAGTGTAATGAGTCTGAGGGAGAGCAGAGAGATCAGCTTGAATCATGTGTGCGCACTACCTCAGACGACTGAACACAGCGTCTCTAACCATTTGTATATGTCAGATAGAGGGACAGATGGCAGAAACAGATACTGTGCAGTATGTCTGCGAGCGAGTGTTTGGAAATCATCACCTCCTCCAAAACATCAGCCAGTTTACTGAGGACGTCCTCGGGTAGCGACTGGAAAGAGGGAACGCTGGGGGGGAGGAGAGTTCAGAGAGAGAGAGAGAGAGGCGTGAGTCACTCTCATGTGGTGAGAGCTTTAAAAACAGTGAAGTGGTGAGCGCATGTGAATGAGCTGTACCTGCGGAGGAAGTCTGTGTACTGGGAATGTTTGATGAGACCAGTCCTCATCATGATGGTCTGGAAACCCTGTCGGTCGATCGCCCAGAGCTTGATGTCAGTCAGAGCTGAAAACAGACACAAGTAGGCTCAAAGCAAACACTTTACATTCTCTATTGATGTGGATAGTGTTTAACATCTTTCAAACCACACGACTCAGCATCTCATTGAGGTTTGGAGGCTGTTTCTTCTTTTGTATTCATGTTCCTTTGAATGTATTTGATACAAAAACCCTTTTCTCCTGAATTGAATTTTCAACCTTATTTCAATGTGTTTTTCATCAGGGTCGAGAGTCTGCAACATCCACTGCAGCCAGCTGTAGCCCTCACTTACATTACATTTCTATTGTTTTTCTTTCCCAAACCTCTGGGAGATAAAGGTGGTGTCAATACTGAGCTTATGTCAGTACCAAGCCTCACAACCTATATGAACACGGTGAAAGCTTGAACGCAAACACACAAACTGAGGGAAAACACAGTTTACGTTCTGCGTAGACAAAGGTTCCACATTAAAGTATTGATATTTAAAGTGAGTCAGCCTGTAGAAAAGCTTTCTGGTTCCAGGTGACCTTAACAGGGAGGATTTGTTGCTCGCGTCTGGAGCATATGTTTTCAGAAATGTAATATTGATTAAATTGTCCCTACTCTCATATTTTGTATAATTAACTTTGGTCTGCTGAGGTCAAACAGAGCCATGATCTCATAGGCCACCCATCAGTTGGTCTCTATGAGCAACCTTCAACCTTTATTGCACATTTTGTCGAAACAAGCTCACTGTGCATGAACTAATATAGAAAGAAAGTCGTCCACATTTTGAAATTTTTGTTCGTTTGTCATGTTCAGTTTGAAAACCCAGTAGGTGGGTACTCTTCAGTGACTTATAAAAATGGCATATGTTTTGTTTTCTCAATAATCATAACAAGCTTGTGTTGGACAATAGAAATGCACCAAAAGTGAACTGTACACTTGCAAAAACCAGATTAAGAGAAGAGTCCATGGTGTATAAAATGGTGTCATCTGCATAGAAACGTATGTTACCATGTGGAGCGGCAGAGATTATTTCAGTTTTTGTATATATAGTGACTATAAGAGGACCAAGAACAGAACCTAGAGGGACACCTTTGCTGAGAGGATGAAGCTCCAAGGTAATTGATTCCTACTGAGGATGTAAATCTTTACAAACACCTCACAAATAAATAGTTTCATGTTCAAAAGGGCTCAGTAATTTCCTAAAACAGCTGATCACTGTGGTGTTTTAATAGAACAAACATCTTTTGGGGACTATTTTCAGTATCACCCAGTTCAACAGGGTAAATCTCTTCTCAAAATGTACTTTTATCGTCCTGATTTTACACAATTTTATTGACTTCTTTTTTTTTGGTTTTATTGATTATACTGATCGCCCTCTTGCCGTTGACGCTTCCTTTGGTTTATTTGCACTAATTCTAAGACACTCTAATTGTATTTCTGATTGCTAGCTTTAATTGTTGCCTTATATGACTTGCATGTTTTATTCTGCCGCCTTGTGTAAAGCAGTTTTGTACGTGGGTTTAGAGAAGTGCTCTACATATAAAGATTATTATTATTAGAACTGTATAAAATCAAACTTCAAGCTGCCTTTTGAAATAGTGAAGAATGTCCTTACAAAGATAGCAATACAAGCACACACAAACACAGTGGTGGCTTCTCTCCGGATGGAAACATTTGATTTATGAATATCTTTTCATCACAGTTTTAATGATGTTTTGATGTTCTGATGTTTTTCTTCACTAAAGATTTTCATCTCACAAAGGAACAAGTGTGTAAATCCGGTGTGACAGGTGACGCTGTGCTGGTTTTTCTGTGACTGACATCTATGAGTTTCCATGTTGCTATAGCAACATCAGGCATCACGTCTTCCTACATCCCTCATCTTTATTTACATGTAAACCCATTAGGCTACTCCTGGCCCCTCTCTAAACCCTCATTGACCTCCCCCCACACTCCTCCACTGTTTTCATTATCCATGCTACAGTATGGATCTCTTCATGCTGACGGTGAACTGCTCATTTTACAGAAAGGGTTTCATCAATTTGACACATGGAGATCCGTTTACTCTCCATGCAGAGAGATACTTAGCCTGGGAAAACAGTTGCATAATGTCCTCTGTGGCTGTGGAGGAGCTTCCTAAAGTCAAAGAAAATAACCCATATTGATGTCTTTAGCGGAAAATTCAGCTTTAAAATTTATTGGTAAATCCAAATTTTCATTTTTATTTCCCATTTTGATTCTTTCACCATGTTTTGTATTAAAGTAATAATCTATTTTCCAGCACAATGCAAAATCTGAGGATAAAAATTGGCTTTTTATTTCACATTTCACATTCAGCTGCCACAAACCGCGCAGTCTGTCGACACAGGATGTTTTCACACCTGTGATTCTGTTTGAATCACAAAACTTGTTTCATTTTCCCCATGATTCGGTGTCTTTTCATAGAAAAATATTCAAAATGCACCAGTGAAAGCCCCGTGACTCACTCTGCTCATTCAATAGATGTGTCTGGAGTGGGAGTGAGAAAAATAAAGACAGGGGGAAGGTCCAAATGTCTGCCCAAAGCACTTGTTTTCCAGTCCAGGTCAAATCTTGACATATTCTCAGACCGACAGCTAGCAACTGTTGAACTGTTGAATCCCAGAATGCAAAGTGCTCCTGGCTACGAGAACCACTCAGCCCAAACTTGCAGAGTATTGCAGTCGGATCAGATTGAGGTTGAATCATTTTCACACAACAGAATGAATTTGTCTCATTTCACCTTCACTTGCACCTTCCTTTTTTTTCTCCTGCTGCTTGTCCCAATAATTAATTTAATATTTTACTTTTAAAAACTTGCAGTATTCTAACAACGTTATGTTCCCGTGTTTGTACCGTACGCTGTCGTCTTGTGTATGAATAGTGAAGTATGTTATCTCTTCTTGGTACTTACGGCAATGTAATTATTTACGTTTTTTTTACAAAGAAAGACTGGTCCACAAATTCCCTGGCACACCCGTCCTAACTATGGGGTAAAGCCGCGTTCGCCACGTCATGCTAAAACTGAAAGCGATGCTAATAGAGCGGTGGGACAGATAAACAATGATCTAAAAGATGCTAAAACTCTCAGAAAGTCCAGAGTTGATGAAAACTCTCTGTGGCTTCTTCACATCACTTCAACTCCTTTCATTTGATATTTGGGTCATGGTTTGCCCTGACAGGACTATTTCAGTTGATTTTCCTGTTTTTATTTTGAAATGACTTCCCTTTGTGTGTCTCTTGGATATTTTACTTCCTGTCTTCGTCCGGTTCCCTGTCCTTTGTGATTGTCTGCCCCGCCCTAATGTGTTTCACCTGTGTTCAGTCACCCTCGCCTCCCATGTGTGTATTTAGTCTTCTAGTGCTTTTGACAGTTTGTCTATTAGACTCCTGCTGCCAGTGTTTTTTTGGATTTTCTGGTTTTCTTTTCCCGCCTGTTTTTGTTCTGTTTTTTTGGATAACTTTTGTAAGTACTTCTTGTTATTAAAACATCTTTTTCCCACTGACCTCTTTTTGTGTTGTCTACTTCTGGGTTCAGTTTTCCCTCAAACATGACACGTTTGAAATTGTTAATGTAAAAATATTAATTAGTGTAGCTTTAATGCTTAAAATAAGAGGTGATTAAAGGGAGCTTCGAACCTGACATCAAACTCTGTTTCGTTAACAGTCTTTCCATTATTTTCTTCCTCTTTCCCTCCCGTACTCGCCGTTCTCCCCGAGCTCTGAGCCAAACGTGATAATTGCTTGTAAAAGTGATGGAGAAGCTGTCTGATTTCTTTAGTGCTTATAAAGATGTTTTTCTCTTCTCGCTTGAATGACATAGAAGGACACAAGGACGCTGATGAGAAGCGGCAGACAGAGAGGAGAGAAGGTGAGCGCAGAGCCACGCTGTAATGAGCTGGCTGGGGTTTCTTATAAGCACACACAGTCAGCAACCAGAGCGCTGTAAACACATTCCTGTCGAATGTACCAAAAAACACACAGTCAGGGTCTAGGCATCCCTCCAGCACATCAAAGTGACACACACACACACACAGATAAAATGAGTTAGATGCTGTATTTAAAGCCAGTCCATCATCTGAAGCTCTTCTTTTCTGGCAGCCAGGAAAATAAAGGGATTTGAAATGCAAAGAGTAAACGAGAAGAGTGTTGAGACAGCAACAGAGAAGTGACAGAATCAGGATGAAAAGGGACAGAAGTTAAAAGCCTTGAAATGTTTCCAGCTCTAAGGATAAAATAAAAAAAACATATTTTCCAAGTTCTAATCTTGTCCCATGTTTTAATTGTTGATTTATCTTGTTTTATGGTGAATATATATCAAAGATGATGTGTTTTTGTATTAAAATCACTCTTTTCCTGTCAATTATTTTTGATAACTCATCCTAAACTCAGATGCACTGCTATAAATGTATCCGATCAAATTAGTTTAGCTTAGCTTAGCATAAAGACTGGAAACGGAGGGAGCCTGGCTCTGTCCAAAGATAAAATCCACCTCTGAAGTTCACTAACTTGTTCTCTCCTGTTTGTGTCATTCGTAGGTCCTACCTTCGTAAAACCGAAGCTCAAATTCACAGTTTTTCCGAGGTTTATGTTCTGGACTGTTTCTGGTAGGTGATTATTATTTTGTGTGACGTGTTAATGTTCTTGATTGTTTGTTTGTGAACGGGGAAACTCATGTACAGTACACAGTAACTTTTAGATTTGGCCTTTCAGTGGACAGGACCCCTTCATTTCTTAACAGGGCTTTTATTGTGAAAGATTGCAGACATTAAAGGTTGACAAATCTCATCTAAAGTGTTGAAAATAGCATGAATATATTGTTGAATTTATTAAATTAAAGAAGTACAACTGTACGTTACATTGTCCATCTTTGTTTTTGGACCATTTCGGCCATTATAGGAGACCCAGCTTTTAACCGACTACCATTTTTTATTTGAGAAAACATCTCATACTCAGGTTTTCAGATCTGTCTGTAACATTTCTGCTGAAACATAAATACACTAAAGAAATAAAAACCAGCTGAGAAACAGCAGCATGGCTTAGGGTTGAGCAATAAGTGAGTTAGAGCAGCAGCTGAGACAGACTTTTAGACATACAGGAGTTTATTAATCAGAGGAGAAAATTAGACAGAGCAGGCATGATGTTTGTGGTCGACCTTCACCGCCGTTTTCATTTGTCACTGAATGAATAAATGCTGCTGCACCATTAAAACATTTCCACGGCCTGAATTTATTTCGTTTCCAGCAGCATTAATGGATGTGGAGGCCTCCTCGGGGCCTCACTGACAGACTGCTCTTATTCAGTAATAATAATGTGTTTATGTCGCCTCGGCAGGTGAACAGTCACACCCCTGTGACTGAGCCATTTTCACCACTTCTGAACATCAAATTGCTCGAAAGTAATGGTCTTGTCAGGGAACAGCCGGGTTCGTGAGCAAAGTGTGTAAAATAAAAAAGTGTGTGTTTATGTGTGTACCTGTTACAGTAGCTGTGCGGGTGCAGTTGTAGAGGATGGCGAGTTCTCCAAACACTTTTCCTGGACCAATGGTGCAGAGTTTCTTCCCTTGTTTCGTCACCTCGACCATCCCCTCTGTGAACACATCAAAAGTTTGTTTGGTGGTGTGGAAGACAATCTCTCTCTTGATTGGTCGACCACTTTGGTCCAGACTGAAATCTCAACTGTGGCTGTGTTAATAGTTAATATTTTTTTTTAAAGAAGTCGACAAAACACAGCTGCGAATGGTCTGTGTGTTTCCATTGAGGGATGTTGTATGAATAAAGCTCAGTGTTCTCCTCTCACGATATCAGTCCAATTAAACATGGCGACAGATTTCCAGCATCTGCTGCTTGTTGGGACGATTGCATCCACCGCAGAAGCCGCTGTATTGAACTGAAGGCGATGAGGGCATCAAACCCCTATAGTCTGCAATGTTTTTCGATGTCATGTGACTTAAATGTGTATTAATTTCACTTTCATGAGAGACAGTCTAACAAACCACCTCATACGAGTGTAAGAGTTTTTTCCTGAATTCAATGTGAATTTCAATCATTTTTTCATTCACAACCACAAATGGCGAATTAAGCAGGTTAATGGAAGCTATTGCTATTGTCTTATACAACTTTTATAGCTGTGTTTCATCAACTAGTGGCTTCGTGGCTTCTTCTTATTTGGTTGTGAAACCTTGCGTTTGGTAATTGGGAGTTTTGTGGGTATTTGGTCATAAATCAAAGCATCTAAATAAAATTTTGAGCTGATGATGGCGTTAGATTAAAAGACAGGTTTATTTTACAGTTCATCTTCTGGCCACGATGAATGTCTGAACCACAGTTCATGCTAATCAGTCTTTTCCCTGAAAGTCAAAAACATCAACCTCATGGTGGCAGCAGAGGAAACATCAGGGGATCGTAAAAATTAGTAGGGTTCGTCATTTGGCGACCATCAATGTTTGCGCAAAATTTAATGGTCATCCGTCCAATTGTTGTTGAGATACCAACAGTACCAGTCAAAGGTTTGGACGCACTTTCTAATTGAAGTGAATAGGAAGGTGTGTCCAAACTTTTGACTGGTGCTGTGAGTCTGGACCAAAGTGTTGGACCAACTGACGGACACAGACACACTAATACAAACCACAACTGTATTATACATGCACGGACTGAGAGTAGAGAACACCATGAAAAGAAAAATCCATCCTGACAAAACTGCTTCAAGGAAAGTGGTGAATTCAAAAGACGTGATTAGTCTTCTGTTCAGAGCTGCGAGAGACTAAACTGAACAATGTCTGTTCATCAGAGGCGTTTTAAACGGCTCTCATGTCGACAGTCACGAGGGAGCGACTCGACGCAGCAGCAGCCTCTCAGTGCAAGTGTGTGAAAGACTGACTGTCCTTGAGAGTGAAGAACGTGTAGATCTTTGACGAGAGAGCAGCGAAGGTGTCGGGAACATTTGGCTGAACTGAATCGAACACACTGCGAGTTTCTGTGCATTTGTTCATGCAGTATGTGTGCGAGCTGCATTAACACATGAAACACGGACCAGACAGTGATATCACCCCAACCACCGGCTTAATATGTGGCCTCTTCCCGCTATTTTCTCCACTGCAGGCTTTCTCCACATTTTACTTTGTGTCACGTAATGTCTCAGATGGAGCCTCTGTTTACTCTGGCTGGTACAAGCTATTTTGCAATCTCGTGTTGCCTGTGCTCAGACAAATGGGCTGTCTGCCCGTATCAGTCCAATTCGACGTTTCGCCTCGGATTAGTCTTGTCCCATTGAGCGGAACAGGCCTTAGAGTCCAGACGGAAGATAGTTTTTCCCGCTATAGTGGAAGTGGGGATCTGTGTGTGCGGCCATTAGGGCTGTTGCTTTTTATTCTATATTTGAACTGTTGTTTGAAAGTGGGGGATAAATTAAATACTACAACTTTAACAACAGTATATAAAGTAGGTAGTTTGTCTTGTGGTCCAGCAGAGAGCGTGATTTGAATTCACTACCAGCTCCACTCGTTGCTTCCTCAGTAAACTGCTCTAATCAATAAAATTGGAGGAGGTTTGGTTTCTAGAGCGTAGATAGTAAAATGACCAACAAAGATAAGGCTGCTTGTGGACGTTGTTAAAAAGCATCAAACTCCGAGGCTGAAACATGAAGCATCAACACTGAAGAACCAGAAGCTGCAGTTCCTCTAATGGCCACTAGAGTCTGGCTCCATCAGTGAGTCAGTCCCCATAGACTCCCATGTTAAAATGTCCAACTTTACAGCAGAAATAAACATGTTTACAGCCTGGTACAAAAACTGTTTCGGTCTCTAGAGCTAATTTGCTCCTTCATGACACCTGTTTATATAACTCACCTGTTTACATTTTATTAAGGACTACAGTTATGGAGGATTGAGGGCGTGGCCTCTTTGAGTGACAGGTGGGGGTGGGCATATGCTTGCCACAAACGGACATGCACCGAAGTCTCAGCCTCCACTCACACCCCTGCTCTTTGACCATTTTTGGATTAGCTGGGAGTTAGGGGCGGAGTCAGGCACTGCCAAGATGGCAACAGTGGAGCGGCTTACTCTGAGCTTCAGAAAGCTGTGGGTGACGTCACAACGTATGACAGAGCAAATCTGAGGATTCACTTCCTAGCTTGCAATAGCCAGCCCATTGCTGGCCAGTTGGGACCATGTTAGCACAACACTTGTAGCAACAATAGCTATCTACCAGTAAATAGCATTTATGTTCTAGCACAGCCATTAAAGCCACTGTTCAGTCCATGTGCAATAGACCATATCCCATTTATCCTCACTCCTTACCCTCCAGAACGTAGACTGTCGAGCCGTCATCCCCCTCCTGGATCACGCAGCAGCCTTTGGTGATGCTGGTGGGATGCATACAGTCCATGATGGTGAGGATCTGCACAGATTAGACAACGAGTTAGGTGGTTTTTAAAAATCAAACGATGCACTGTTAAAAATCAGCCCAGATATGTGTCTCTACCTGCCCGTGTTCCAGGTGTTTCATGAAGTCGTTGTCCATTAGCGCCCTCTGGATCAGCTCACTGGACCTGCAAAACGCACAAATAGGTGAAAAAGATCACTCTTCGTCAGTGTGTGTCTGTGTTAGTGTATCCTATGATTTCCTGTACTCACTCTTTTGACTTGCAGTAGCTGGTGAGGGTAACGTCAGTGAGCTGGGAGGGGTCCAGCGCCGTGGGCTCTGCTGAGATGGCCTGTCTCTTGGTGCGCTGAGGCTCATCAGTTGTTGCTGTTGTCTGGACCGCTGCTCCTTCTACACACAACCACAGAGACCTTAGTTAATGTTCGTCAGTCAGGCCGTCCATCCATCCATCCGTTTTCTTCTGCTTATCTGAGGTCGGTTCGCGGTGGCAGCAGGTCAAACTAAGTGGTCCAGACGTCCCTCCCCCAAGCAACATTTTTGTAAGTCTTCCTGGGAAATCTCGAGGCGTTCCCAGACCGGATGAGATATATAATCTCTCCAGTGTGTTCTGGGTCTACCTCGAGTCTTCTTACCGATTGGACGAACCGAGAAGACCTCCAATGGAAGGTGCCCAGGAGGATCCTAACCAGATGCCAGAACCACCCCAACTGGCGCCTTTCAAAGTGAAGGTGCAGCGGCTCTCCTCCGAGCTCCTCACCCTGTCTCTAAGGCTGAGCTCAGACACCCTGCGGAGGAAGCTCATTTCAGCTGCTTGGATCCACAATCTCCTTCTTTCAGTCACTAACCAAAGCTCATGACCGTAGGTGAGGGTCGGAGCGAAGATCAACTGGTAAATTCTTCACCACAGCAGTCCGGTACAGCGCTTGCTTTACTGCCAGCGCTGCACCGTTAAAGATAAATTAAATATCTTTGGGTTTTGTGAATATCTTCAAACAACATGTTACAACAAGTATAAACTGAACGCCTCGGGATCCCTCAGGAGCAGCTGGGACCTGACCCCGGATAAGGGGAAGAAAATGGATGGATGGCTTTTGAGTTCCTCTTCGAGACCAGGGCCACGAGATGGAGGATGGAGGACTCGGCATAGTTGATATTCTACTTCAGTACAATTTGTAACAAATTTGCGATTGATCAAACAGCATAGACAGAATAGATGTGAGGATGAAACCTGGGACTCTCGGCTCTAATCCAGCTTTGATTGTGATTCCTCAGAGGAAAAAAGATATTTGGTCTTTAGCTGAAAATAGAAATGTAGAGACGTCTTTGATGGTGCTGGACTCATCCTGACCCGAGCTGCTTTGCTCCCCACTATTTAACTGGAGGAACTATGAATCTGTGTGCAGCAGCTCACCCACGTTTCTTCGATCGTACTGAATAGTAAAGTGAGCCTTTATTCTACATTTGTTTTGACAGCGTCTGAAAGCATCAAGACTAAAGTGTGCGAGTTGTCTTCGCTGTGACACCGAGGCCCGGTGTGTAAATGTATGTTGTGAAAACATTTACCCCACCCCCTCTAAAATCCTGGCCCCCACTTCTGAGGCTTTGTTGCCACCAGATCTGGCAGGTGTGGTAATTGCGCTGACACACCTGTGTTTGTCGTGTCTGCAGAGTTGGCTGCGTGCTGCGAGGCGCTGCGGTGCCTGTCCAGCTCTATCTGCAGCTGTCTGATCAGATCATCCTTGGTGTCCAGCTCCAGCTCCAGCTCGTCGATGAGAGCGTCCCTCTGTCGCAGCTCCTCGATCTTCAGCTGCAGGGCCAGCTGAAGGTCCCGCAGGGTGCCCGCACTTTTGGACACCGCCATGTGCACGAGCATCAACGGGCGCGCCGGACAGAAGACACAGGAGGGAGACGGCGAAGTTGTTACAGCTGGAAAGTTGTAGTGGAGGGTTTTTTCGTGCAGAAAAAGTAGTCCCTGCAGAGATGAGAGAGAATTGGTGAAGACGTGTCCACATACAGCTGACTGTCAGTGAAGCACAGTAGGAAAGAAGAGAAGGAGAGGAGGCTTTGAACATCTCTTTTAGCTCCTTTTCTTTTCATTCTTCGCTCGACCATTTCTGTCTCTTCTCATGTGAGGAGGTCAACGCTGTGAGACACCGTCTGAAAACACACGGTTCAGCCCGTAAACCCTGAACTTACACTGAAAATCATTTTAAACACATTCACATGCTGTATTTATATTTGTGACAATTTATTCAGCTCTTGCATCTTTTTTCCTCTAATGCCTCATTCTTTTATCTTATTTTACTCTTTTTAAATAATGATAATATATGTGTGTGTCTTTTCATGTTGTCGTTTATTTCTTCTATATCTTTTCTTGGAGCCCTTTGATGTCTTTAAAGCTCTTTGTATTGGCCTTATTGAAAGGTGCTGCCTTCGTCTGTGAAGGTGATTCATTCTTCCAGGGCTTAAGTCTAATATATTTTAATAATAAAAAATATCAACTTGAACGGGAAAGTGGTGTCAGACTTGTGGAGCTCATTGTAGCTTCTTTCCCAGAGGAGATGTTTTTATAAGTATTTCATAATGTTAAAATAAATGATACCACAATTAATCTCAGTGCAGTATGAACATTATTTCCCTGTTTCCCCCTGAAGTTATTAAAGTGCTCAGTAATGTAAGAAACATAGTGATCTGCTCACAGATCTTATTTACACAAAGGTGTTACCTCTTTATTCCCAGGGGTTGTACATTTACTCAAGTACTGCTGAGGTACTTGTACTTTACTTGTGTATTTCCTTTTCATTACCTTTCTGCTTCATTTCAGAGGGAAATACTGTGCTTTTTTATTGCACTCAGGATTTAACTCATTCAGATTCTTACTCACAAAACAGATAAATCGTCTTTAAAATTTCACGTTTTGTCATAAATGAATGTGTGGAACAGCTAAGATGATTAGTTGATCAATCAATTAGCTATTTTGATAATCATTTAATTAGTTTTAGCTTCTCAAATGTGAGGATTTGCTTCTTTCCCCTGAAACGATTTGAATAATTTTAATTTATTTTTAACCCTTTCAGTTTCAGATTCTCTTGGACAACTGGTTGGACTAAAACAAACGACGTGTATGTGTCACTATTCCCTGAAATTTAAGATGAATGAAACAATTAATAATAATCAATAGAGACATAATCAGGAGATTAGTTCATAAGAAAAATCATTAGTTTCAGACATAAAAAAAACAAAAACCAAACCCCAACCAGCTATAACAGTAAAATGCTGCACACATTAATGCATGAGTCATAATAACTTAATGATATAATAGAATAATAGTCAGTCTCTGCACTGACTAATTCTACTTTTAATACTTAATAAGTATATTTTTCAGATTGTACATGTTTTTAATGGACGGTGTTAACGCAGGACTTGTAACTGAATATTTTACAGTGTGGTTTTGGTCCTGATCTGAACTCTTGCTCCAAACATCCTGTTCTAAATGATCCAGTAAATATTTTATTGATCCTCTGATTACAGTCAATCATCACAGTGTAGTTTGGGGGCTGTCAGCCACAGATTGATCATGTACTCACTTGCTCAGTCAGACGGACAGACCGTTAAAACGCTGCTGGACCAAGAGGAGTCCGGTGGGAGGAGAGAGCCCGCTCCCCGTCGCTCTGGTCTGAGGATCGATCAGATTCTCCAGTTCTGTCCGAGCGGTGAAATAAATAAACTAATCGATTATTAGAACAATGCAGAAATTAACACGTGCAGACGACGTCATTGTCCTTATTAAAACAAACAGCGATTAATCAGAGTCAGAGAGAGACGGAGCTTCAGAGGATGGAGGCACAGCTGAGTTTGACAGCACTACTACAAAATAAAAGTCACTCCACACTTTTATGTTGAAAGTCTGGAAGCTGTTTCTGAAAAGTATTCCGATGTACAACCTGTGTTTTTGATTAGATGCAGAATTCACATAATGCAACTAAATCAATGAACAACACGGACAATAAAATTAAAAATATTTGTTTTTGTACAAGTGGAATAAATAATAATTATTAGAAAACGGTTTAATATCTGTGGACACATTATAATGTTGTTATTCAAAAGATTAAATATCGTAATCTTTTGGGACCTTGGGTGCTCAAAGGAGCCTTTCTGCATAATGAGCAGCCTATTTTTACTTTTGATGCTTTAAATACTCTACATCTCTGTACTTATAGGAGTTTAAATGCAGGACTTTTACACGTAAAGGAGGGTTTTTACATGTTGACATTGGTGATTTTAGTTAAGTAAAGGATCTGAATACTTTTCCCACCACTGTATATAATACTATCCTAATCATATTGTATGTTATTTTATGTTTATTGGGGTATTTTCTCCTCTGATTCTCTTCTCGTTTGCTGGTGCGTTACAGTTGTATTACTGCACTCCGCCGCTGGGTGGCGGCAGCGCGTCATCACGTCTCTGTTCCACCGCGAACCGGAAGTCAAACTCTGACTTCCGGTCCGGTCACGTCTGAGCAACAACCACGATGGCGGCGTCTGGCGGAGAAACAAACCACGGAACAGGCAAACTGGAGTTGTATCCTTTAATACGAGCTGCGGATATTAATCTCTGAGTCTTATTTATGTCTCAGCGGTTAATTAACATTTTCTGTTTCGACTTTAATTCATGAAACATCAACAGTAACTTAAACAGTTCAACCAGTAGCGTAAGTTACCTCCGTGTTCACTGAGTGACGCTGTGGACCAAAACAAAACACCTTGTTTTTTCAGCCTCTTTTTAATGACATTTTGGAAAGTGAAGTATGCAGAATGATCTGTTAACAGCTCCTGTTTGCAGTGTTCTCATGGATGTACAGACACCTGCCGCTGCGTCACTGTGATACTGAAGAAAACTTTAAAATATGACGATTTTCAGGCAAGTGCTGCAGATTTAAAGAGGAGTTTTATGGACGTAGGAGATACTGATATCCTCTAAAAGTGTACACTCGCTGAGCACTTGATTAGGAACACCTGTACACCTGCTTGCAGTTATCTAATCAGTGCATAAATCCTGCAGGTGAGGAGCTTTAGTTAATGTTCACATCAAACATCAGAACGAGGAAAAAATGTGACTTTTACTGAGACATGAATGTTGTTGTTTTTTCCTGAGGATCGTGTCTGAAGCTGCAATGATTGGCCAATTAATTGATTAGCCTATAAAAAGAAAATTATTTGGCACTTATTTTGATAATCGATTGATTATTTTGAGTCATGTTTTAAGAATAAATGACAAAAGTCTCCATGTAAGTATCTCATATGAATGTGTTTAAGTCTTTTATGATGGTGAACCGAAGATCTTTGAGTTTTAGCTTGATGGTCGAACAAAAGCAATTTTGTTTTAGTTTTTTTTCTCCATTTTCTGACAATAATCGTCAGTTGCAGCGTCACTTTGAACCAAACCTCGGAAATCCTCCAGAAATCCTCCTTGACCCCCCTGCAGCTCTTTGGACGTCCCCTTCCCGTCGTCTCGCGAGGCCGCCATCGCTCTGAACTCTCTGTCCCCAGACCGAGAGCCGAGGAAAGGCGGCATCAGCAAACAGCTCACAGTGTCCGGCAGCACGTTGTCTGTGTAAGAAACACTGTCCCTGCTCCTCACCTGTATCTGGCCGTCAGTGTTGGTGTCTTTTTATTGAACCTCTGTCTCACTGTATTTCAGGAGGTGGAGCGCAGACGAAGCTCGAATCCTCCGGGTGTCTGTGAACTCGTTTCTGGATCATCTGTCCCTCGTCATGGAGACCATGCAGATGTTTGGGCCGCCTGTCTCCCAGTGAAGCATCACGGATGATTCAGGACTCTGATTCTTTGATGTCGACATCCTCCACTGGACGTTTCAATCCGTGGACACGACTCAGGTGCGACTCTGGAGCAGGTTGAAACTGAGCTTTTATAAAGGAAGTCTGAGCAACTGGCAGCTGAAACTGTGGTTTCTTGTTTGTGTCAAACAGTAAAATCTGTTTTCTTGTTTAAGTGGAACCGAGAAGGTGGCGAGACTGGGGTTGATTTTTATTTAAGAATTTCCTCCAGACATGTTTTAGTATAAAAGTACTTTTCTTTGAATAATAGTTTGTGCCTGATTTGGTTTCTCTGCAAAAACAATTTGATTCCATTGATAAAAATTCCTAAAATGACATTTACTCCTCTCAGGATGTATAAATCTGTAAATATTGTTCATTTCAAAGTTTATCAACTGGACACAAGATGTCTTCTACTTTACTGAAAAGTCAAGTTTCCACATCACATTGTGTAAGTTTCATACTATTCTCTGATTGGCTCCTAACTAGTTGTGATGTCATAAATCCTGCAGGTACTACCAGGTGTTTAACTGAGATTTAAGGTGAAGTTCAGAGAAACTTTCCCACTTCAGCAGATGAAGGTGAAAACAAACTCTACACAAACATTATCCTGCACAGTGAAGCAGCAAGAAGCAAAGCTACATGTTTAAGTGGAGGGAGGGGTCTTTAAACTTCCTGTGTAAAAATAAAAGACGGTAGAGATCTGCAGAAACCTGACGGGTTATAAAGTCATCAAACAAGCTGTCGATCAATCAATCAGTCAATGGACAGGAAGTCAATCAACCACTGTTTTGATGATCATTTTTTTGTTACTGCAGATTAAATGAAATGAAACATTTGAGGACGTTACTGTCGACTCTGTTTTCTAACATTTGATATGATGAACAATTAATCGAAAAATAATCCCCAGATGAATCAATAACACTTAAAGCGTCACTATGATTATGACAATGATTGTACAGAAACATTTAGTAAATGTTTTATAACACAATATAATGTCGTTCTAAGGTCTGTCAGTGTTTATTAATGTATTTGTAACAAACTGCTGTAAAAACATAAATAAGTTGTAACTGTTGACAAATATAAACAGTTAGAATTCACTTTTATCTGATTTTAATACATTATAATATGTTAGAAACATTGTGTTTATGTCATTATTAAATATGGGGATTAAATATTACAAATTAATCGTTAATGAAAGTGATAATTAGTTGCAGCTTTAAACTGTACAATAAGATGTTTGGTTCGGTTTGTTGACCGTGCAGCAGTTTTCATTAAGAGAAATTTAAACAGAAATTTTTATAACTACAAGAAACAATTATTTGGTCGGATGATGAAAAGAGGATTATAATAAACATATATATAATCAATCCAGTCAACTGACATGTGGACACACCGGCACTGACTGACCAGCAGAGGGCGCTGCATGATCAATAATTCACCCCAGTTGTTTCAGGAATGTCCAGGAGAGAGGGAATGAAATCATCAGATTTATTTATTAAAATAATCAGGTGTTTATTTTGACGAGGTGGTTACACGTCGAGTCAAACGACTGATTATCTCCCGCAGCTTTTCATAAACACCTTCGTCTGACTGACAGAGTAATAACCGCGGGACGTGACGCTGTAAAGGAAATGAAGTTTCACCCTGAGCCTCAGACTGGCAGAGTTATAATGAATCCTGCAGATGATCAGGCGACGTTTCCTCCTGCAGATGTTGACTTTGTCTCTTTCTTTTTTTCACAATAAAAGCATCGAGTTGGTCAGAAATGGTGGCAGTGATTTTAGTAAGTGCAGGTGGAATTACATGGAATAACACCGACGCTTCAAAGGGCAGATTTGTCTCGTTTCATAGTCTCAGAATTAATTAAATACGGTGAAGAGATTCATGTGAAGCAGAATTTAACCAGAAGATAAAGATCTATGTGCAGAATTACAAGTTACTTATATGATGATTTAACAGCAGCTGCGTCCTTCATCTCTGTTGATTCGTCATGTTGCGGGGGGGTTGGTCAAACATCGTCACCTTTGACACTGGAAAATTGTGTTTCACTATATTTTCTGACATTTTAAAGACGACTTGTTGTTTTCTGTAAGAAGCTCTGACGTGTTCTTCACTACAAATATAATATCTTTGCTCTTATGAGTCATTAACTAACATTTTAACTTTATTATATATTACAATTATTAACTAAACTAACAAGTACTCAAGACTGAATGTGTCAGTGATCAAAACAAGTCTTTAAAGTTATTAAATGATGAAGTTAAATTATTATATCATTATCACTAAAAGCTGGTGCTGTCAAACAGTCAGGACAAGCACTAGTCATGTGGTTTATTCGATCGGGCTGCAACTGAGAATTACTTTCATCTGCTGATATATTTCTTCATTAACTCATTAATTGTTTCATATATAAAATGTGAGGTTTTCAGTTCATAACGAAGAGACGGAGAAAAGCAGCGAATCTTTACATTTCAGTAGCTGGAACCAGGAATATTTCTGTTTTCCTGTTAAATGACGTAAATAATGAACTAATCGCTTCAGGACTGATGTCGTTTACAGTTTGTAAATCCAACATCTGAGTTTAGACTGAAGTGAAGGGACAGGATGACTAATCTAACAGGCTCTTCACACAGAACCATTTACAACACTTCACTTTGTACAACCTGGGATATATTTTGACAAGTTCACCCCATCACTGAACTGAACATTGTTTATTCAGCAACACCTAAAACCTGCAGCGCGAGAGCCGCTCTGTGCAGACGCTGCAGTGACTCAGGTTAAGGAGGTGAGGGTAGGTGGATTATATGCAAGATGAATTTACCACAACACCAGAGCTGTTCTGAAGTGGTCACCAGTTCAAAGCAAACATGTCAATAGACTCGACTATATGCAGGAAAATCTAAAAATGTAACACTGGTCGATGTAGTTCTGTTCTGCAGGAAGCAGCAGGAGAGGAACTCAGTCAGGATTAAAGCTGCAGCCTCTGTACAGATTAAAGGCGTCACCTGTCAGACCTCGGAGCAGTGAAGCATTAAAAACCTTATTCTAAGCCACGATGTTTAAAACACAAATATTCATCTTATTATTATAAAAGAGAAAATAATCAGCTGACGTCGACTAATTCATTTAATGCCGTGTCGTTAACAAGTGTGACGACTCCGGGACGATATTAAAAAACAGAACATGCGGATTATAAAGCAAAACAAAACTCACAACCAAGTCAAGTAGATTTTACTAGGGAAAAGTAAAATAAATATATTGAACATTATGGAAATCTATGGAAGCCCATTTCTGCCAGTAAAAACAAAAATCATGTTAAATCTTAATTATGAGATAAAATGTCAAAATTATGAGATTTAAAAAAATCCAAATTATGAGATAAAAAGAACATTATTTTATTTTTCATCAGGCTGAGAGGAAACGGGCCATAAAACTCACATCTGTAAGAAAAGAGTAAAACATTGAACGGATCATATTTTAATGGACAGACGCTTCAGAGCAGCAGATGTTTGTTGTTACCGTGACAGTGAAGGCCACACGACTTATTAAAAGCATTTTTTGGGGGGTTTGTTTTCAAACAAGTGAGTCATCGTCACTGACATTTAAACATCGTCCCACTTGCACAAATGACAAGAGGCTGTAAAAACCTAAAGTAAACGGCCACGGTGAAACAACAGAGGAGCGACGGGCGAACCGCGGGTTACATCAGAACAGCAGCGAGGGCGGGGACGGTGGGGGTGGGCGGGGGTCAGCGTTTAAAATGTCAAACTGCCAGAGGTTCAGTGTGATTCAGCAACATTTAATAAAAGGACAGAGAGCCACATCTGGAGGAACATCTGCAGAGAAACGACACTAAGTAAATCAGGTCGCGTGATTTTAAAATTTCAGCCTCGTTCAACAAAAGAATGTAAATGAGTTTATTAACTAAAGTCATGTTTACAGTCTTTCTTTCTTTTACATCAATCTGTGTCTCAGATACACAACAACAAACATTTCATGGTTCCTGCTTCTCAGATTTGAGGGTTTGATTATTTTAATTTGAATTAAATCGAACTGAGAAAATAATGAGGATATTAATCCATAATTAATATAATCTTTAGTCACAGTCCTTCAGTTCCACTTCAGCCGACTACAACAGAGAAAACATGATTCTTTGTGAACTGGCTTTAATCTGACAGTAATCAGTGTCGTCGTGTTCATTAATAAACCAGCTCCACCTGCAGCAGCTGCAACAGTGAAATACTGTTTACACACAAAAACATTTGTGGAAGATCTGGGAATGAATAAAAAGTTGAACTATCCTGTTACTTCCTGATAATTTCTTGTAAGTTTCCTGGACAGAATCGTCTAGTTTGTTTCTAATTAGAGGAAAAATCGAGACAAAGTTCTGAGTTATTTCAGTTCAGTCAGTTGTTTGTTTTTGATCCAGATCAATTTCTATGGAGGAAATTTCTGCGTGTGAATATTAATTCATCATTTACTGTTTATTGGAAACTTTATTCTTCATTCATGCTGAATTATTTGCATGTGCAGCTCACCTGCTGTCCTCTGAGTAAAAGTCTCTGTTAGCATAGCTTAGCGTTCAGAAGTAAGTGGAAGGGTATCAGCTGATCAGTCACTGTTCGACCCGCAGTCAGAACCAGCTGATGTAGTTTTTACTGGAATTTCTCGACCTGTAAGATGAAGAGTTACCAACAGGAGGAGTAACGGCAGCTGTGTGGATCAAAACTGGAAACAGAGGGACGAACATGAAGCATCATATTATGTAAATCTGGTTGGAAACTTGACTATTGATGACCACTCTCCAAAAGATGCTCCACCTCTGGTCCAGGAATTTACACTTGTCATTTTCAGAGTCTCGTGTTCAGATCGAATCCAGATGTGATTCAGTATTTTATTCACACTTCACTGTTTGTGTCTCCTGGAGAACAAGAAAGCAGAAGAGTAAAAACAGTCTGGATCCAAACAAACGGCACAAATCCACTGATTTCTTAGCAAAAATGAATTTTATTTTCGGTTTGACTTGAACCAGTAATCGCTCACAAAAACAATTAGTTTTACCATCTTATTTTAATGTACATTTGTGTTTTTAGCCTCTTTGTTTATGTTGCTTTTTTGTCTTTACTGTGAAGCACTTTGTGACGTCTGCTCTTTGAAGGAGCCACATAAATAAAAGTACTTACTTACAAATGACCGAGCTTCCAAGGTTTAAGTGTGTTGGTCATTTCAGGGTCAGACTCACGGTGCAACAGGTTTACAGGCTAATGGAAAACTGTATTTATATTCACACTGCTACAGATTACAAACACATCAGCGTCGAGTGCGTCTTCGTCCACGTGTCTCTGGTTCCGTCTCCAGAACAGAACGATAATCATTAACTCGGTCCTCCTCCTTCGTCCTCACGTCTTCCGGTAATGTCTGTAACCCGGTTTCTGTCTCCGGCCTCAGAAGTCGTCGTCGTCACAGATGTCCAGATAAACGTCGAAGGCCTCTCGGTTGCAGTTTCCATCGGGGGTGAACACGTACTTGTGGAAGGTCCCGTCCACACAGATGGCTGCAGGAGGGGAAGATTAAAAACCCGTTACGTTTTCAGGCGTTTAGGAAACGGCAGCACAGAGACTCCAGAGGAGGATAAAAGTCATTTGGAGAGAATGAAAATGTTAATATGAATTAAAGATAATCAGGTTTTAATTAAATAGATTTAATAGTTTTCAATCAAAGAAAATATAAACAAGGTTCCTGCAGCTTTTCCCATGTGACTTTAAAACCGTTCTACGATCGAACGACAGAGAACAAAACTTCTCAGTTGTAACAGAATGAATCAATTAACGTGACCTAAACCCATGTATGGATTAATCAAACACACACACACACACAGAGCCTCAAAACGACCATCAACAACTCCTTCAGTCTGGGAGTCTTATACAGGAGGGTGGGTTTACATTAACAGGAAAAGATCAGGAAACAGGAAGCCTTCAAAATAAAATGTGAATAAATTCACATATAAAACCTGTTTCTGATAGAAGCTTGTTTCAGATAAAAACCTGGTTCTCGCAGCAGCTCAGGTCAATAATTTGAGAATTTACTTACTTTATAATAAAGTGACAATAAATGAATATTTAGTGATAATTTAATAAGATAATTCTGAGAAAATCAGTATAGAAATATTCTTGTTTCATATTTTCCACTCTACATCACAGTAATCCACAGACTGAGGATTATTATATATCTGTGTGAATATTTATATATTTATTTCTCGTGTTTCCTCACCGATGACGGAGTTGACGTTCTTGGACGTGTTCTTTCCAAAAGCACAGATACAGGCACATTCGGCGGGAACAGTGAAGCTGGCCAACGACCACTGACTGTCCACGTACTGACCGATCACAGGCCCCACCTTCCCCACACGAGCCAGTCTGCGGGAGGAATAACCAGGCGCACAGGTTTAAAAACAGTTAGCGACACAGGAACAGTTAGCGAGCAGCAGAGAGGAGGTTTGCGGAGGTCGGCCTTACGCTGAGCGGCGGTTCAGTTTGGTGTCTTTGAGCGCGAAGATGTGGACGGTGCCTTTGTCACTGGAGGCGCAGAGGAAGGAGGAGTCGTGGCTGAAGTTGATGCTGGAGAGACGGGAGAGACAGTTAGAGCCAGAGCTGAACTTCAACACAAACACAGGTTTTCAGGGACTTGAATCCATTCTCGACTTAATACATGGAGAGGTGCTCGTCAGGTTCAGGTTGCTACTCCACTGGAGGGTAATCTGAAACACAGCTGACGGTTAAACTAACGGGTCAAGAGGAAAATACAAAGAAATGTGAGAAAGCAGATTTTTACAGTGAGCTGTAATAACTCGTCAGTTTTCCTGCGAGCGACTGAAATCAAAGTGTCATTTTAAGTCTCTTCATGTTTGTGGTCTCGGATGATTATTACATTATTAAATCCATTAGCTTCCCTCCCCTGAAGACGAGCTGCTGTGTATCAGGTGCTGCTCTGATCTCCACTGTTTTTCATATTAACAACATATGGATTTTTTGGTATTTATGAATCAATTCAGGATCATAAAAGGTGAAGACTGTAAATCTTATGTGACTCCCCCCCCCCTCCACCTCTAACAAACACAAATGCTGCTTCTCAACAGACTGGGGAGACTCCTGTTACACAACAACACCACTGTCGGGCGCCGGCCATCACTCAAGTCCTACTGCTGCGATGCAAATCATCCTCCGCAGAACAGGAAGTAACGCCGCAGCAGCTGAGGTATGAACCCGTCGTCTGCATCTATAACGCATTACTGCTCTGGTTTTATGTTGCTCTATATACGGCCATAATTTAAACTGATCGAATGGTGCTGGACATGTTTTCACTGAAGAACAGCAGCACTAACGAAGCCTGTTCACGCCATCCACTTCCTGCTGCTGCTTCACAAACTAGACTTTTAAAGGGACAGTCCACAGATGTTACAGATGTGGCTCAGAGAGGTTCGCGGCTGCTGCGTGTACCAGTAGAGGGTTGCCGGGTCGGTTCCTCTGCGCAGCTCCACCAGCTTGTCTCTGGTCGTGGTGTCAAACAGGCGGATGAGCGTTCCTTTGCGAGAGGCCGAAGCCGCCACGCTGCCGGGCTGGTTCAGAGCCACGCAGGCGATCTCGCTCTGGTGGGCGTTGATGGTGAAAGGAGCGGATGATGTTCCAGGCTTGGTGTTGGACAAATCCTGAACAAGACAATATATTTTTTTACATGAATTTAAATTAGAACAAACAGTTTTTTTTGTTTTTTTTTTTAAGAAGTAAACTTTAACTTAAGTTTTTGTGTTTGTAACTTACAACCAGCTGCAGGCTGCCGCATTTATGACCTGGAAAAACCAGCAGCTGCTTCTCCAGACTGGGACATAAATCACACAGACCTGCAGGAAACAGTTCCATTTAGATGAGCCAATTAATTGATTAGTTGATCAGACTAATACTGCAATTAAGAAATACATTTTAAAGATAAACTGGCAAAAAAAATACTGTTTTCAGCTGCTCAAATATGGAGATTTCTGATTCTATATTTTTGGGATTTTGAAGCGCTGGTCGGACAAAACAAGATATTTAAAGACGTCTGATGTTGAGCAGCAGCTAATGATGGAACAAAAAATAGACAGAAGAAGGGAAGGACTCTCTCACCTTTGGGGTTGTCTCTGGTGTCAAACTCAAACAGTTTGACGGGGTTGTCTGGGAAACTGTAAACATAGATCCTGTTCTTCAGGACAATGATGATCCTGGGAAAAGAAAGAAGGGGACAACAGTTTTCCTTCATGTAGCTGCACAGTCACAAACTACAGGAGGAGTGTGTGTGTGTGTGTGTGTGTGTGTGTGTGTGTGTGTGTGTGTGTGTGTGTGTGTCACTGACCTCACTTGTCATGCCTCATGCGAACGGCCAGAACAGGTTTAGTGAAGGTGAACTCCAGGACCAGTTTGTCTTTGGGGTCTCGTGACTCCCGAGCGTCGTCCCAGATCAGAACTGAAATTAAACAACATTAGACTGTTTACACAAAAACATATGAAGCAGTTCGAATGAGAGTTGAGCCTCACACTTCCAACAGGAAACAGGGTTTTTCTTCTTTCTTTCTTCTTCGTCTCCGTTCATCTAACTCACCGGATATTTCTGAGAACTTGGGATTGACTCCTCCTCCAACTACGGCCAGCAGGTTGGATCGATGCAGCATGGAGCACAGGGCCACACTGCCCACCTGCTCATGGTCTGAAAACAAAACACAGAAATAAGTCTCTCTAACATTTATTCAGCAGAGCATGTACAATATAGTAACTGTATGTACATAAAGGCGGTAAAGTTTACTCACCCAGGTGACCCTTCTCCATCAGGGGCTCCACGTTATAGATCCTGACCCCCGTCTCCATCGCGCAGCAGAAACAGCCTGGTGATGACAAGATTGAAACAAATATAAATAATATGTTTACACCCTAAAAATGCAACAAGGCAACAGTAATATAAGGCAACAAGTCAAGATACACTGCTTCATTAAAGTTAAAATTAAAAAGACTTTATAACTGTGGTGACATTATTACACAGAAGACTGATACAGATTTGGTTGTTTTCATTCAGCAGCCTAAATAAATAGTTCTTATTATATTAAAGCCTTTTAACTCTTGAACTTGGATGAAGCAAGTTCAAAAGTTTTCAATTCCTTTTCTTGAGGACTGTTAATGCACCGTTTCTGATCATAAAAATAATTTCAATTCATTTTTTATTTTAATTTTATAACAATGTTATTTTCAGTTTAAAACTCGGCTACCTTTTTTTGTATATCTTTGGATTGTGCCTTTAAGTTTCTAAAGTTTTATTATGCTGCTTTTAATTCACTTTTTTATTTTATTTGAATTATTTATTATTTTATTATTATTCCATCTCATTTTACATCAATGTTTTTATGTTCATTTTATGTCTTTTCATGTGAAGCACTTGTTGCGTGTCATTTCTTTGTTGTAAAACACTTCTTGTATGAAAGGTGCTTTACAAATTAAGTTTATTAGTATTATCATTATATTCTTCACATAAAGCATGATTCCAGACAGGTCTTAATAAGTTTAATTACAGTAAACCGCTAAACCTGGTGTCTTTTCCTCAGGATTTAATAAGGATCTAAACACTCACTCACAGTGAAGTTTCACAGTCATTGCAGAATGTTATAAAGAGAATAAAGAGGTGAAATATGCTGAGATTTCAGTTTTGTTTTGACTCTGTGTTCGGTGCCGTTGTCTCTACAGGTCTGACAGTGGCCGTGTTTAACGGTGAAGTGACCCCCGGACAAACAGACACATTCAGGCTCAGTTCTGTCCGCATGTCCGCCGGCTGCTCCTGCTTCTTACTCTGGTCCTGGTTGAACTGCAGGCTGTTGACTCCTCTCTGCTGAGCCATGGCTGCCACACCGCCGTCACCGAGCTGCTACCGGTCAACTACAGCGTCCCCCGGCCCCGAACGACAACCTGGGACAGAGACAACAACACGACGGTTGAGCAACACTGAGGTAACGTTAGCTGGGTTAGCTAGCACACATTAGCATCAGATAACAGCGGTTAAAACGCAGCTGGACTCTTTTTCTAACCTCGACATTTTGTAATAAGTGAAGTCTCACCATGAACACGAAGAGTCGAGACGATACGGAGGGTTTTTTTTTAAAGCGGTAAACGAGACAAACTGAGCGAAACACAACAGAGTTGATATTTCAAGACGGGAGGTTTGTTTTTGTTTTTCTACAATGACGTCAACGACACGTGTTTCCGGCTGTCTTCCTGTTTCCTGTTCAGAAAATAAAAGCGTTTTTCTACAATTAAAAGGAAATTAAAATGAAGCAACAAAATCAAAGAAATGTGAATAAAACACATATAAAGACGAACACAGTTTCATTTATATATGACTACGTACGACCTAATGAATTAAATATATGCATGGACTGACGTTAGTTAGATCATTTTAAAGGTACTTTTGCATCTTTTTAAAAAATTATCTTTTGTACATTTGTTCAAGATTTTTTTTCTTATATTTTACAGAAATATTATTAGTATTATTATTATTTGTAGTAGTAGTAGTAGTATTGTTATTAATATTATTATTACATTTTATTGTATTTCCTGTACATGTCAATTGAAAAGTAGAGTTCCTAGGTTTCAGTCAGGAGTCAGCTTGTTATTGTCAAGTCAGACAGAATAAGGGAGAATAACACCAAATATGCAAGTTAATATTGTTTCCACAGTTATTGTCTTGTTCACACTAAATTTAATATTGTGTTGGGTGACCTGGCAGACTATCAAATATGGCCAAAATGCCAAAAATAAAATAAAATCAAATGAAATTTAAAAAACAGAGCCAAAAGAGGGAACACTGGACTGAGATTCATCAGGTGACACAAACACATCTTCACTGCAATTGCTGGATGAGAAAAGTTTAGGATATCAACTTAAAACTTGATAACATTTCAGTGTTGCGTTCACTATTTTATTTCTGCTGAAAAAAAACTGAACAAACAATCATTTATTGCAGGTTTAATTAATCAGGCAAACAACTGTGTCCAAAGTGAAAGAGTTTTCAGAGCTCGTGCGTGCAGTACACTGAGACTGACTAATGCTTCGTCTCAAGGGGCTAAAAAAATGTCAGTGTAAACAAAATGTTTGTACAGTCTGTTATTCATTTAATTAGAAAGGTTATTTAAAGATCAACAATTTATTGACTGGTGTTGACATAAGAGTGCAGTAACACGGCGATCTCAAGCAGATAACATGACCTGTGACAGCACAGTACAGGGCTGAAAATAACAGGAAGGGCAGGTCACAGTGTGTGACCCATTTGTGGGTTTGTCAGATTCACAGATGATTACAGAACCACAAACCTGCTACACTATTCTTTATTTCTCTCAGTTAACTGCGGCCTGTTTTCCACCGTACCATCACGACACAGACTGATTTACCTGCAGAAACAGAAGCAGAGACTGAACTCAACTGACTGAAAGTAGAACAGGTGATTTGACGACACCCAAATGCCACATATCAGTGCATTATGACTTTTAGCAGAGCATCTCAATTCTTGTAATGCCACCCAAATAGGTCATTTCAGGGTTTTTTTTTTTTACAGACTGCTGCACTATTAAAGATTCCTTCATCTTTTACCTGCTGTAAAAAGGCCAATAAAAATGGCCTCAGGGTACAGAAGACCTGCACGAATTGAAATCCATGATAAATATCAGGACATTTTCTGTGGTGAAGGGGCACGATCAGTCATTTCTCCTGGTTTATTATAAACACGGAGGCACTCGGAGCCTTTTCTTACGAACTCTTTGGCACGAGTCCAGACCATAAAAACTATATTTAATTAGAAGAGACTAGACAAATGAAATCAGTAAAACAAGAAGCTGTGCACCAGAGGAGAACAACTGTGTAAGCTTTGGGTAAACTGAAGAAGAAACAAGACTAAAACTGTGTCCGGATGTGAACTTATTTTCTGGGTAAAGATTTCTGTGTTTACGACAACTCAAGATGGTTGTATGATTGCAGACAACAACAATACTGGATCAACAAACTTCCAACACAGGAAGCTGCCCCGGGGCCCCAGCTCCATATCAGCTGGTGTTTATGAATTTGAACCACTGAAGTACAATATCAGCTAAAATGGGACTTTCATTACTGACACATCTATTGGCGGCTTTGGTTTGTTCTGGACTCGACCCTCACACAACTTTGATGAATTCTACATCACTGGAGAGCTCTGAGTCTCCTGCTTCTATCTGTGCAAAACATTTTTAGGATCCTCGCATTTCGTAGTAAGTTGCTCCTTAAATTTTAAGTTGTTTCTGTCCACACCATTTTCAGCTTTAGTCCAACAAACGTGTTGTCATGGAGAAAAAAAAAAAAAGTATTCCCAGGGTTATGACTGAAGTCAGCAGCGTTGAAGAACAGTAACCTTTTAATTTTTGTGTACATTATTTTTTAAGACTAACAAACATGGAGGTGTCTGGTAACAGGCTAAAAATGATTCCTGTTACCACTACAAATGCCTCTCTATGACCTGTTTTAATGCTTGTTTAAAGCTGATGTAGGCGGTAAATCTTTGGCGTCAGTAATCACCTTTCAGCATATTGTAATTCAAGTGGTCGGAGAGAAAACTAGATGTCTGCACCTGTCTTGGTTCTGTTTTCAGATTTCTGTGACGGGAGACTTTGGCCAATCACAGGTCTTTTCAGAGAGAGAGAGAGAGTGTTCCTATTGGCTGTTCTACATATGCAGATGTGTGTGCACGTTCAGATGGTCATATCTGTGAAGCGTTTCAGAGATGAGAAAACCCCATACAGAAATGTAATATATAACATATATGACCCTACATCAAGAGTGATGTTGCCATATATGTCACATATAAAGGGATGTGTTATTGTCTTATATATAGCTCTGGATATATGAAGATGTATGTTTATAACATGAAATACCCATCGTAAAAATATATTAGAATATTTCTTCATGAAGGATTTTCATGTAGCATAACATGTTGCAACCACATATATGTTAATGATATATAACACCAAACATATGAATGTGTAGATATATGTAACATGTCTAAAAGCATGTAACCTACATATTTAAATGGGGTAGAGATATACAGTATATCACTTTTACATATATATTTTTCTTTTATATGTAAATTCACTACACGTGCATATATTGCATTTGTGTATGGGAAGTTGTTGTAGCTCTTCTGGACAGGTAACAAGCTGCTAACGTGACGAGTGGCTGTGTTGATGTTGCTAATACTTTAGCTTTCTGCTAACTGTAGCCAAAGGCTCTCGGCTGCAGCTGTGTTGCTTGTTGTTGTTGTTGTTGTTGTTGTTGTTGTATTTCATTTCTTTTTTTTATTTAGATTTCTGCCTACCCCAGCTTTAACTGTTACCCCTGTATGTCTAATTGCCCTGTCTTAATCAGCGTTTACAGTAATGTTGATTAATGTGCACTGTCTCTGATAATAAACCAGCTAATGAATGGTGAATACAAGAGAAGCCGCCTCCTCCACTCAGCACCTCATGATCATATCACGACCAGTGAATGCGATCACGGTTTTCTTTGAACCTTCTATCAATTCTTTGGTCTTAACTGAGACGTATGAGCTTCCAGTTTGACACTCAGATCATGTCCCTGTGTTTGTGGTTCACATGGGAACTGATTAAATCTGTCTTGATATATGGACTTTAGAATGATCTGAGAAACGTTTGAGGTCGCTGTCATCAGTCAGAATTTGCTGCAGGTTCATTTTCATTAGTCAGTGATTCAGTCTTTACACGTTGGCAAAAGGTAATTAATGTTTTGAGGTTACAATTGCAGTAAATGCAGCATGTGCAGGTCGTTTGAATGTGTGGAGGGTGGAGATCGAGGTGTCTGTAAACATCCACTTATGGACACTGTGAGGATGAACTCATGTACATGTATGTTGCATTCAGAACAACATGTCACGGATCAGTTCCTCACTGGTCAGCTTTGAGTTTCTTACATATATAAATATATAAACTGCAGTGAGTGGTTGAAGGTCTGTGTCGTGGTTCACAGAGTCACAGAGTCGCTCCTCTGGGTGATATCAGACCTATATGGTCGTTTAGGCTGGAGGACTTTAATTTGTACATGTGCGTAGCGCATAGACTGTAAATAAAGATGGACGTGGTGTCCGTGACGTCACCCGTAGATTTCTGAAGAGCGGTTTCCCATCTTGCCAGTAACTGACTCTGCCGAACGCCGGCTAATACAAAAATGGGCAAAGAGGAGGGGCACGTTTTTACAGTGCATGTGGCAGACATACACTCACCTGCCTGTCACTCAGAGAGGCCACGCCCTCAATTATCCATAACTTTAGTCCTTAATAAAATGTGAACAGGTGAGTTATATAAACAGTTGTTTGTTGTTTGTTTATAAACAGTTTGCACCAGGCTGTAAACATGTTTATTTCTGCTGTAAAGTTGGACATTTTAACATGGGAGTCTATGGGGACTGACTCACTGTTGGAGCCAGACTCTAGTGGCCAGTGGAAGAAGTGCAGTTTTTGGTACTTGTGTGTTGGCTTCATTTTCCAGCCTTCAGCTCAGGTCACCGCTTGGTGTAATTGTTGCCCGCAGCAGAAACCATCGGTGGTAAAGTCTCCTGGCTGCTCCATCCTGCCGCTTATTCAGCCTCAATCTACAAGTAAAACAATGTTTTTACAGATGCTGTAGGAAAAAGTTCACATACTCGGCCAATCAGTGACATTTAGCTCTGTAAGCCCCTCCCTGAAGGACAGTACTACCCAATGACCTCCTCAGAACTTGGACCCTGGTTCCTCCAGTGGAAACGTGTAGGACAAATCATTCCCTTGTTCTCTGGTGTCACAGACTTAAAGTAAAAGATATATTCTGTTGTCGACCTGAGATGAATCTCGTTAGCGTGAGACTGTTTGCTTTTCTGCACAACAAATCAAATTTCTCTAACGAATAAACCTGAGAAGTCCTAGATTTCAGCTTTGCCCGGTTTGCCATCTGGCTCATACTGTAGCTTATTGCCTGCCTGGTCTGAGGCGAGCGCAAGTGTTTGGCTGCCAGTTTAATTAGTAAGATACAACCTTCGGGGACTGAGCTAATTGCTTGGACAGAGAGCATTTGTTGCTAATGATGAAAGCTCTCCAGTTTTGTGATGAGTCTCCAAAACATTAGCATTAATAAGATGGAGAAGACAAAGTGTGTGTGTGTGTGTGTGTGTGTGTGTG